CCTAACTGAATAAATAGGCAAGCTCCAAATCCAGTGAGAGACCCTGCCTCAAATAATAAGATGGAGACTGACCGAGGAAGATACCGGATGTCAACCTGGGGCCTGCATACCCACATATACATATGAGAGAACACTGACACACCCATGCCATACACACATAACTAATTAGTATCTTTCATGCCTTACGTGAGCTTTTGCAATCTGTGTGGAGATTCTCAGTAGCTAAGAACATACATGTCCTCGTCCCCGGTAGACAGAAAGGCCCTGCGCTCACACAGCAGCAGTATTGTGCAGATGGCAGAATGCCTTGCTTTGGTAAAAGTTGTGTGGATGTTTAAAGACGTGCTGTGAGAAGGCCATTGAATTACACAGCTGCATTGTTTTCAATGCAAACACTTGTTACTGGCATAGCCAGCTTTTAAAAGGTACTCGATTGGAGGCTTTACAGGGCTCTCAGTATGTGATAGTTTTTCCGGATGAACCAGATACTCAGTGCTGAAACACTTAGTCAAGTTATAGCAATAGAAAGAGCATCATGATTATCAAATACCTTTGTAAAGAATTCTTAATTTCAAATTGTGTTGTTGACTCCTGTTCTGCTTCTCCAGGTAGTTGTGATAATTTTGATTCACTGTTCCAGTTTGACCTGGATAAAACCACCATTGGGGAAAAGTCTTTGGAGATCATTACACTATGCATTTCTGGTGCATCTCAAAGGGATGTGTGAGGGCGGGAGAGACAGCTCAGAGTTTAAAATGCCTGCCACATAAGCATGAGGTCAAATCCCCAACCCTTCATATAAAGGGTGGGCGAGGCAGCCTCAGGAGGCATAGTCTGGGGACCCCCAGAACAGCCTGGCTACCAGGACCAGCCATATCAGTGAACTCTGGGTTCGATTGAGGGTCCCTGCCTCAGTGAATCAGGTTGAACAACAGATAGAGATAATTCCCACACACTTAAAAACATGCGCACATGCCTGGCAGTGGTGGCCCAGGCTTTTAATTCCAGCATTTGGGAGACGGAGGCAGGTATATTTCTTTAAGTTCAAAGCCAGCCTGGTCTACAAAAGCTAGTTCCAGAACAGCCAGGATTGTTACACGGAGAAACCCTGTCTCAAAAACAGAACAAAACAAAAAACAAACTATGCACACATATACCCTACACATGAAAAGGGGGGAAAAGGAAGTATGAGTGTCTTGTATACATTGTGAGCATGTGGGTTTGTGCTCACGTGTGTAGCTACAAGTGTGTGTATAAGTGTGTGTGTGTGCTCACACCCATGCACATGCAGAGGACTTGTTCCTCAAGCAGCTTGACTTTTTTGAGACCAAGTTCCTCACTGGTCTGGGGCTCGGTGATCAGTCTAGGCGGGTTGGCTACTGCACCTCAGTGACCGCCTGACCCCGCTGTCTAGTGATGGGATAGTGTAGTGCACGCTAGCACACCTGACTTTTGTTCATGGGTTCCGAGGGCTGGACCCAGCCTCTTATGCTCGTGGAGTGGACTGCACTCTACCGACTGAGTCATCTCCCAACCCCCAAGAGGCTCGTATGTACCTCAGGCTCCTTTTTATCTTCCCTTCCTCCCAGGAGGAAAGTTTCTTAATTAGCTGTCTGAATCCTGAGAAATACAAGTATTTGAGAAATGAATGAAGCCGGGAGCCTACAAAGAAATAGAGAAGGAACAATCAAGTCCAAGAGAGGGAGAGAAGTTGAATGTTATGACAGCCACGGAGATAAAGTTAAGTGAAAAGGTGGGTCCACACTCCAGCAGGCTGAAGGACAGAGGCTTCATGCATGACGGGTGCCAGGTGTGTGTGCGCTGGTCTCAGCTTTACTGTTAAACGAGTGTGAAACTCATCTCAGTCTCGATTTCTGTCCTCCTTGTGTTCTAATTCGTTACGTTTAAGTTATGGTTCCTGATGAACCTCAGGAGCTGGATCAAGTTTGCTTGGTTATAAGTAGTGTTTGCACTGCAATTGAACACCTGGTGGAGGAAGTAGAGTGTGAGCTACAAGTTGTGTTCCTAGACTGTTTTATCATCCCTTCCCTTAAAGAAGTTAAAGTGCTGGTTTATACTTTTTCTTCCTTTAGGATTTTTGAGATAAGGACTCTTGTGGCTCAGGCTGACATTAAGAGTTGCCATGCAACCAAGGATGACATTGAATTCCTGATCCTCCTACCTCTACCTCCCCAATCTGAGATCATAGGTGTGCACCTGTGTATTCATGTATTCATTCATCTTAATACACTGGTTTTTTTTTTTTCCCCTTTAACTCTCTAAGTGATGCTGTGATGGGGCTTTTCTTTCCATAGTGTTTTTAGGAGCTGCCTATGTTGTAGCTAATCAGAACATTTGCATTTGTTGCTGTGTATTAACACTGTGTATCACAGACATCACCCATTTGGCCAGGAGCAGGTCTGTTATGATTTATTGTGATTTAAACATCTACTGAACAGCCGTACCCTGTTGTGGCGTGCAGGCACTAAAGTGTCTGCTTTTGGGGTTTCTGCATCCAGAAATGGAAACGGATTGTCAGGTTGAAAGATACCCATGGAAGCCAGGCAGTGGTGGTGCATGCATGCCTTTAGTTCCAGCACTTGGGAGGCAGAGGCAGGCAGATCTCTGTGAGTTTGAGAAGACCTAGTTCCAGGACAGCCTCCAAAGCCACAGAGAAACCCTGTCTCAAAAAAAAAAAAAAAAAAAAAAAAAAAAAAAAAAAAGAAAAGAAAAGAAAAGAAAAGAAAAAAAAGTGCTTCTAAGAGCTGGCCCACTGGGATCTGAGTTAAGGTTTGTTTCCAGCTTCACCAGCTCCTGCCTCACATTCAAGGTGTGAAACTCTACTTTGGTGTGCACTTCCCTAATGTTTGAAGTAGTGTCTCAATTGCATATTGGTATCTGCCATGTTCCCTGCTTGACCCCTCTCTGTGCACATGTCCCTGTTCATCGGTGATTGGTTATAGCACTGGATTTAAGGAGTTGCTTTTAAAATTCTAGATGTGAGACTGGAGAGCTGGCTCAGTGGCTAAAAGCACTTGCTACCCTTACAGAGGACTCAGGTACAGTTCCCGGCATCTACATGGTGTCTCACAACCATCTGTAACTCCCATCCCAGAGATGCATCTGGACATGCATGTGGTACATAAACATAAATGCAGGCAGACGTTCATAGACATGGCACTAAAAAATAAAAATTCTTGATGCTGTCTTTCCTTAACTCGTTCTTCCTTTCCCTCTTCTCCCCTATCTCTGTTCACCCTCTCTCCGTCTCTTTCCCTCTCTCTCTCTCTCTCCTCCCGTTTCTTCCCTTCCCCATCTTCCCCTCTCATGTAGCCCAGGCTGGCCTGGGCTCACTGTGTAGCTGCCATGGCCAAGGCAACTTAGAAAGCATTTAATTGGGGGCTCGCTTCAGCGTCAGAGGGTGAGTCCATGGCCATCATGGTGGGAACCTTGGCAGCAGGCAGGCTGGCGTAGTATGATGCTGAAGAGGTAACTGAGAGCTCACACTCTGATCCATTAACTGCAGGCAGAGGATGGAGACTGAGCCTGGCATGGGCTTTTGAAACCTCAGAGTCTACCACCAGTGACACACCTCCTCCAAAAAAGCCACACCTAGGCCAACAAGGTCACACCTCCTAATCCTTCCTAAACAGTTCCACCAAATGGGGACCAGACCTTCGTACATATGAGCCTACAGAGCCATTCTCATCCAAACCCTCATGCCTGTTATTCTAGCGCCTGGGAACAGATCGGAAGGATCTGTTCAAACCAGCTTCAGGCTGAGTATGGCATATGACTTAATCTCAGAATGTGGGGGCAAAGTCAGGTGGATCTCTTGAGTTTGCGGCCAACCTGATGTACATAGTGAGACTTTGTAACAAGCAGAGAAAGCGAAACAAAAGACAGCCTCTCCCTGGACCTGTTATCAGTTCCTACAGTTTGGTCTTAAATACTCCATCTCAAGCTCTCTCCCTCATCTTCTAATCTTGATGACCTAAAGTGAGTGATAGAAAGACCAACTCTCTGTGTATACTGGGGTTTTGTGGCACCAGATGTATTAAGTGGGGACACGACTGTTCCGAGGTGTGGTTGAGGAGGTTTCTATTGTAGCTAGGAGGGAGAGATCAGTCAGAGGCAACCACTGTTAGAGTCCAGAGCGTGGAGAGAAAGTACTACCCTGAACATGGCCCACAGACTGGGCTGGGCCATGAGAGGAGAGAGAACAGTGGAGGAGCAAGAGAGGAAGAAAAGAGAAAGGAAAGAGAAGTCCAAGAGAGAGGAGGCCAATGGACCAAGGTTACTTAGGGACGGGAAGCTGGAGGAAGGAGGCCCATGAACTGGTCAAGTTTAGGGTAGGGGTGGGGTGAGAAGCACAGAGAGGAGCCATGGGTAGTTGTGATGCTGAGAAAGCCTGAGGACAGCATGTGCTTTGGTGTGCAAATAGATACCACAGTAGATGTTTGTCCTGAGTTTCTTTTGGACCTGACATTCTCCTTACCATGGGTTTTCTAGAATAGCAAGGGGTAGGTATCTGGAATACCATGTATGCATCTGAGAATGTTGGGATAAGAAAAGGAAAAGGGGAAGCTCATGAAGGAGGAAGGAAACAAAAGAGAAATGTCTTCCTAAGCTGGGAACAAAGGCCATTGCTTACTCGGCTGTGTCTGGAGCTAGTGTCGGCTCTTGGGGGAGCTAGCTACATTTGAATCACTTATGTGGGATACTGCAGAAGTTCCCGAGTATTCCCTTGTGGGCTCTGCTCTCTTTCATAGAGAGTTTATTTCTGAAATTCCTCCATGGAAGGGTTGGCAGAAATGACTCCATGTTGGTATTGACAACTTTCATGTCATATTCCTGCATAAAGTCCGCCTGTAAATGATCTAGTTGTTTATTTATTAAGCAGTTTTAAGTTCCAGTAATGTTGGCTGTTTTGTTTACATTTGGAAGGACTAAAAAGTTATGTGTCCATGCTTTACATGTTAATTGTCCTCCCTGCTTAGTTCTTCTCGTGAGACTCCCCAGGAGACCAGTCACAAAGGATGAGTGAACTGGAGCAGTTGAGGCAGGAAGCCGAGCAGCTGCGGAATCAGATCCAGGTAGGAAGTGTTCTGCTTTGAAGCTTCACTGCTTAGTTCGGTTTCAGCAGTGTGTAAACACCATTTATTAGTTTATCAGTCTGTTAGAGTGGAAACTTTACGCCAGCATCAATATACCCAAAGAGTCTGGAATGTTCTAGTGGAAGTTCCATCCCAGGCCACCTCCCCATTGCTCTCCAAACCCTGCTGCATTACAGAAAGCCTGCCAAATGATGATCCCCCCACTCCCACAGGGTATTTAAACTGCCCCCCAGAAAACAGTCTCTCTTTCCCATCTCCTCTCTGAGGGGCTGGAAGGCCATCTGGCAGCGTTGTATCCATTGTATGTGAGCTTTTTTTAATTCAGTTTGATTTGGTCTGATTTGGATTATTCAAGGTGCAGAAACTTTTCAGGTCAACACATACTAAATCATTCATGAGGCTAGAAATGGTTGGCCTGAGCTAGTTGTGATGTCACACATTTGTAACCTCAGCACTCAGGAGGTAGAGACAGGAGGATCTGCAATTCAAGGTTATCCTTTGTTACTTAGCAAGCTCAGAAGCCTTGCTTGGACTAAACAAGATCCTGTCTCGAGGAAACAATATGGAAATGGTTAAGTTATTTTTATCATGCTTCTAGAAAACTCTTCCCCCCAAATCATTCCAAACAAGTACACATGCTGGCAAATTACACTGAAAAATGAGTAGAAAAATGAGTAGCATTCATAGGGCTGCTAAGCCTGATGACCTTAGTTCTGTCATAGGACCCACAGAATGGAAGGAGAGAACAGACTCCTGACAGCTGCCCTCTGACCTCCACATAAGTGCTGATGAGCATGCCCCCCCACACAAAGTAAAAACTTAAAATTAGTGAAAAATAAAACGTGCAATCTAGCTGAGAGACAAGTGTAATGATGAGAATATTTATATATTCTATCAAGGGGTCAGAAAAGTTGCTCAGTGATTAAGAGCACTTGCTGCTTTTGCAGAGGACCCAAGTTCGGTACCCAGAGCTTACATCAGGAGAGACTCACAACTCACCTATAACAAGCTCCAAGGAATTAACACTCTCTTCTGGCCTCTATAGGCAACACACACACACACACACACACACACACACACACACACACACACACACACACACAAAAATAAAAATGAAGTATGTTTTAAAAACTATAAAGTTTCAAAATTGTACATCTTATAAGGGTCAAGTATCTAGAATATATAAAGAACTACTATATTTGAACATAAAAAGACAACCTGATCTAAAAGTTGGAAAAATCTTTAAATAGAAATCCCTTCAAAAACATAGAAACACAGATATATAAGCACACACACAACACACTCACAGACACAAACACAGATGTACACCAATGATGTGTACATACAGATTTATACTCATAGACAGACACATAGAAACAGACAGACAGACAGACAGACAGACAGACACACACACACACACACACACACACACACACACACACACACAGAGGAAGTACATGGAAAGATTCTCAATAAAACCCAAACCACAGTGAGATATACTTCACAACTAAGGTGGTTGTAGCTAAAGCACAGACCATCGTAAGAGTCAGCAGTGATCTTGCTAAGGAAGCAGAGCCCTGAACATTTCTGGTGCAAGCAGCTCTGAACAATAGCATTTAGAATTCCCAAAGAGATTGAAAACATGGAAACAACATGCTTTGTAATAACTGAAAAGTGGAAACGATCTGTGCCCAAAAATCTCAAGATAGAATGCTGAAAAGTCATCCTTTAGACCCACCACCCTTAAAAAGGAGGCACACTGCTTGTGCAGTAATGTGGCTGAACCTTGGAAACATGCAAGGTGGAAGAAACTATGTACTGTATTCATTGGCTTACAAGAGAGGTCTGATTGGCAGGTCCACACGGAAAGGACAGAGTGGAGGGAGAAGCTAAGGCATGCAGAGAAAGGGGATCAGGTAGATAGTTTCTTTGGGAACAGGTAGCATGGTAGATATGTCCTAGATTGGATCATTGTGTGGTTCAATTCCCAATGTACTGAAATACCGCTAAATTCCTTACCTTAAAATGGCTGCTTTTATGTTAGGTAAAGTTTATTCCAGAAAAATTTAAGAATAAGATGATGTGATACAGTAAATGTTTATTTTCAATAAATACAGGTCTGTCCCATCTAGACACGCCCCCCCACCTTAACATGTCATCATCTTTCTTTGCTCTAGGATGCCAGGAAGGCCTGCAATGATGCCACACTGGTTCAGGTAAAGTATCCCCAGCTCATGTCAGCAGTTCACGTGAAATATCATAGTACCAGTGACATTCAGATTTGTTACTGAAGGTGCTGTCCACAAATACACTGCTGAAATGGACGTCTATCTGTGGGACAGCAAGCGCTGTGGAGACATGTGGAAGCATTGTCATGCTTATTATGCACTTTCTGAATCTTTTCAGTGTATGCTAAGGAAGCCTTTTTTCTATGCACCATCCGTCCGTGTGTGTGTGTGTGTGTGTGTGTGTGTGTGTGTGTGTGTGTGTGTGTCCTTCAGAGGCCTGAGTAAAGAGTCAGATTCTCGTCAACTGAATTACAGATGTCTATGAGCTGCCACTTGGGTGCTAGGAATTGAACCCGGGTCCTCTGGGAGAGCAGCCAGTGCTCTTAATTGCTGAGCCATCTCTCCAGCTCCATGGCTTTCTTATTTATACAAATTAAAAATGTTTTCTTTAGTAACATATTTCTCGTTTCCCTTTGTGGCTGGTGCATTTTTTTTCCCTATCAAACATCCTGTGCCCATATTTGTGGGCACACTGTGACAACTGAGTACACATACAGTTAACATCAGGGTAGTAAGAACTTCCAGTGTTTGTTGTTGCTTTGTGTTGAGAGACCCAAGCCACCTCTCTTCTACTTCTTTATTAACTGTTTGATAGGGGCTGACAAGATGGCTTCAGGCTAGGCAATTGCTATGCAACCCTGGAGACCTCAATTGGATCCCCAGAATTTGAGTAAGATGGAGGGACAGAAAAAGTTCTACAAAGTTGCATGTACCCCCCCCCCCCACACACACACACACACGCACGGCTGGCATATGTTGCAGACAGCTCTCTTGATGAGCAGTCGGAACCTGTCCTTGCAGGGCAGCTTGCCCAGCCACACGTCCTCCTTCCTACCTATCTTCTTTTCCACTATGGTTGGAGCTTTGCTAAAGTTTGGAAGTGCATGTGTACCGTCAGTTCCTCCTGTGAAGAGGCATCCTTGTGTACAGCAGCACACAGCATGACCTGTGTTAGTCATGGTTGTGTGAAATGAAGTCACAAAAAGCAGGTGTGTTGTATTCTTTATACTAAATCACAATCAGCTACTGTGGATTTGTCTCTGCTTTTTAATCTACTAACACATCTAAGGCAAATAGTAATGTTACTGTCTCTTTTTAAAGATCACATCTAATATGGACTCAGTGGGTCGAATACAAATGCGAACAAGGCGCACGCTGCGGGGCCACCTCGCTAAGATCTACGCCATGCACTGGGGATATGATTCCAGGTCAGTGGCTGTCATTTCTAAACTGCCCGTAGGAGTTTTTTCATTAAGAATCATTTGTATTTTTTCTCTTCAAAACAAACCTTATTTGTGCAGTGTAGTAAAAAAGGCATCAATTATGAGCTGTAAAAGGAGATTGTATTGGTCTGGATCATAAAAAGCTGGAGTCAGATGTAGAGGAAAATGTTGAGAAATCAGAGAAAAGGAGCAAACCACAGCACACTCCCTGCTTATATCTACAACACTTCCTGTCTGTCTGTACAGACCTCCAGACTCTAGCTAGTGGCAAGCTCCATTTTCTGACCCTCAGACAGGCTTTCTATGTGCAAGAAAGCTATCACCACAATGAACAAGTTCCTTGCTCTAGGAATGAATATTCATTAACACTTAAGAGGTCGAGAGCTGTTTGTTCCAATGTGGGGATCAAACCCAGGGCCTTCTACTTGCTGTATCCCCAGCTTGAAGTTCACAGAGTTTTTAGGGCAGGCAAGATGGCTTCTTGGATGAAGTTGCTTGTCTGGCAAGTTGTCCTCTGATCACTACATGTGGGCCACAAAAGGGCATAAACATACAGAGTAGGATTACTGCCAGCAAATAGTTTAAAGTTTCTAATATGAAAAATGAATTTGCTTCCCCAAAAGATCTTTGTCTCGTAACTTGTGGAAACTATTTAGAGGTGGGTTTCTTTCTTTGTTCCAGAATTATTATGCCTTCCCAGTGAGAAATCACTCAGCGCATTTGGAGATACTTAAAGAAGAAAGTTCTTTAAGATAGCACATTTCTGGTTATGGTGACTGCTCAAGGTGGAGCTGGCCCTGGATAGAAGATTCCACTAACTCATACACCTTAGGCTTTTGCACCCCACGTACACTGTCGTCCTTGACTCTCTTTCAGATCCTGGCCCAGGTTAGACTTTGAACAGTTTAAACAGACGGGAGCCTGCAAGTCTGGCTGTGTAGGCAGATGAAAGACTTACACAGTAAAGATACTACATATTGCCAGAACCATTTTAGTATACCGGTGTATACTTTTTCAGATAGCTGTCACCCCTGGTCCTCTTGCCCACTTGGCAGAATTTTGCTGTTTTCAGGAGAACCGGGGCTCTATGGCCAGCCAGGACTTAACTTTGTTGTGACCCTGTGCTGCCTCTTGCCGCCTGTTCAAGGAATGTTCTTTGAGATGAAGACAGCCTAATGGCTGGTGGTAAACCAAGAGTTGTCTCCTGTGTTGTGGGAACTCAGCCTAATGGCTGGTCAGTCCTAGCATCCTAGCATCTTACGGCTCAGTTATCTCTAACAAGCCTGGCCAGCAAACCAGAAACACCCTTTTTTGGAGGAGCAGTCCTTTGACTAAAGTCTACCTTGTGTGATTTATTGTTTGCCGAGCAGATTAGTAAAACCTTTATAACAGCATTATCTTTTAGAAATGTTATAATGTGTTTTTTAATATGCTCAAACTGTTTTTTTTGGGGGGGGAGGGCTTGTTTCTTTTGAGACAGGTTATTGCTAAGTAGCTTCAGTTAGCCTCAGAGTCCTCCTGACTCGGGCTCCTGAGTGCTACAGTTACAGGTATATAATTACAGAGGTCATGACTGCTCCAGGGTATAATTAGGGGAGACACCCAGATGCATTTGGAAGAGTCTAGAGCAGAGAGAGAGAGAGAGAGAGAGAGAGAGAGAGAGAGAGAGAGAGAGAGAGAGAGAGAGAGAGACTCAGCGGGGCTGCAGACTAGACCTAGCTATGGGGGGGGGGCAGCATAGGGTTATAAAGAAAATGAGGAAATGGGGGAGGGAGGGAAGCCTGTGAGGTGAGGGAGTGTAGGGTAGGGGGAAGGTGAGAAGAGCCATCGTGGACTCTGAAGTGTGTAACAGGTACTTGTGATTTGAGGGAGCCTGGAGGCAAGCATGGGCTTTGGTGTGCTAATAGGCAGCACAGACAGCCTTTTGTTCCTTCAGTCTTTTGGAATTTGGGGAAATGGCATTTCCCAGGGACCTGACAAAGTAAGCATACCATTCCTAGCCAAAACATGGTCTTACTCTTTATTAGTATTAAAATACCAGTTAATAAACAAGTACTTAAGTGTGTCTACATTTAAATTGTGGATGTTACTATACTTTATCAACTAACTCCACAAAAGACTGAATTATACAAATGAATATTTTGATTGAATACATTTTTTTTTTCTTTCTCTCTCTCTCTCTTTTTTTCCTACTTCTTTGAGACAGGGTTTCTCTGTGTAACCCTGGCTGTTCTAGAACTTGCTCTGTAGACCAGGCTGGCTTCAAATGCACATAGATCTGCCTGCCTCTGGGATTGTAGATTAACAGGCCAAGCAATTGAATAATCTTTTACTTCCCCAGGCTAACACATATGTACACTGTTATTCTATGATTGTTTGTTTGTTAATCACTTTGTTTCTGTTTTCTGAGTTTAATATAATCTTGAGCTAAAAGTGGGGATGGTGTTGAAATCACTAACATAGTATGCATACCTCTTAGAAGGGAAGAGATAAAATTATATGTTGACAACTAACATAAAGCTAAGGCAGATTTTTTTTTTAATTAAATATAAAAGTATTTTCCCTGGGCCAGCAAGATGACTGAGTGGGTGAGAAGCTGTTGTTACCTGATGACCTGAATTTGCACCCCAGAACTTGTAGTAGAGAGAGCTGGCTTCTGCAAGTGGGCCTCTGACTCCCCCCCACACACATACACACATATAAATAGATAAATTAACTATTAAAAATAAATTTGCCTTGATACCATAGAGTTTTAACCAAAATTTAATTACTGAACGATGTTAGTGATTATTTTCTTAATTTCTTTTTCTCAAAAATAAAATATCATCTAGTAACCTGCCTCCCGTTCCATGTATTCTGCTGATTAATTCCTGGGTTACTGCTTCTGTCAGCACGATGGATGCAGTTGATTTCCACGTTTTCCTTGGGACCCTGTCAGCCCACCTGTGGGCTTTCCATTCTGTAAACACAGTGGGATTGGACACTTGCCTACAGAGAAGAAAACTGAGTGGTTTTTGTAATTGTACTTTTTTTCATATCTTTTACATTTTATATGTAGTGACAAAGCAAAATCCTAGAACAGAACAGCAACATAAAAAAAAAAATTCAGTGACCATGTAGCCAAGAATTTTTCATAAATTAGTGGAGCAAAGCCCCATCTGTGTTCTCAGCTGCAGGACTGGAAGGTGCACAGGTCCCTGAACTCCAGAATTTTCCTGCCTTTGTTCACTCATCACTCCTCTTAGGACACGTTTAGCTTTTGCTCTCAGAAATTCCAGTTTCTGGGGCTGGAGAGAAGACTTAGTGGTTAAGAATATGTACTGTTCTTCCAGAGGACCCAAGTTTGAGTCCCAGCACCCACATCCAACCACCTGTAACTCCATCTCCAAGGGTTATGACACCTCTGGCTTCCATGGCGCCTGCACTCAAGTGTGTGTACGAGCATACATAGACACTGTCCTTGTCTCTTGTTCATTTGTGTTTGTTTTTTGAGACAGAGTTTCTCTGTGTATCCTTGGCTGTTCTAGAACTAGCTCTATAGACCAGGCTAGAAATCCACCTGTGCCTGCTCCTGCCTCTGATTAGGATTAAAGACATGTGCTATTACCACCCAGCCCACACATTGTTCTTTTATTAAGGCAACAAGCCATAACATATTCCATGTATTTCTTCAGTACTATTTTTATATCGTATCTTTGACATCTTTTATTTACTTGGTTTATTATAAACATATGCAAGTGGCTTGTCTCACAGGATGGCAGACGGCCTCCAGCACTGCTTTGGCCTGCACAGTACCCACAGCACAGCACTGCCCTTCACTTACAGGCTCTTGAGTGACAGCCTGGGCTAGATGGGATGTGGGTATTGGGCCTGGATCTACTGTTAAGTCACTAAACTTAAGTCAGTCAATACTAAACCACTCCACTAATATCTACTGAAACCTTCATTGGTAACTAAAATGTCACAAGGGAAAAACTGAATCATAGACACTTTTAGTCAGTAGCTAAATATTACACTTTCTTTTAAAAGTTTGGCATGGAACATAATGTTTTTAAAAGTTGGAAGAAACGTTATTTTAGTATACAGGTTTTATTAGGGAAAACTTTTCTCTTCTGAAGTATCCTTCAAAGATAAAATGTATAACTAATAACTTTTTTTCCTCTCAGTGTCAAATTGTTCTTGTGTTTCTCCTCTAGGCTGCTAGTCAGTGCATCCCAAGATGGAAAATTAATTATTTGGGATAGCTATACGACAAATAAGGTAGAATTTATTTATCTTTCTTTTAAATGCTCATGTATTTGTTTACTGCCTAGCAGTTCTTTCTTACTCAGTTACTCCTTCTGAGATAAATTTATTATAGATCCAGATCAGCTCTTAGGACAGTCGGCTTTTAGTGTTGAGCTCTTTTTATTTCTAGGGACAAGCTAAAGAACAATTTCAGTGTGTGTTTGAGTTTCCCTCCATCCCTCCCTTTCTCTCTGTCTCCTCTTTCTCTCTCTCTTCCCCCCCTCTCCCTTTCTCTGCCTCTCTCCTCCTCTTCCTCTCCTTCTCCCTTTCCCTCTCCCTCTCCACCTCTCTCCTTCTCTCTCCCTCTGTCTCTCTTTCCCTTTCTCTCTCTCCCTTCCCTCTCTGCCTCTCTCCCTCTCTTTCTCTCCATCTCTGCCTCTCTCCTCCTCTTCTCTCCTCTCTGCCTCTCTCTCCCTTTCTGCCTCTCTCTCCCTCTCCCTCTCTGCCCCCCTCTCTTTCTGTCTGCCTCCCCCCCTTTCTGAGACAGGCTCCTACTTAGCCCAGGCTAGCCTTGAAATCACTGTGTAGCTGAGGCTGACCTTTAGCTCTTTAACTCTGCCTCCACAGCACTGAGTTTACAGCTATGTAGCACCACACCTGGCTTGTGAAGACTGTCATTTTTTATATAGACATGAACTTTTAAAATTTCCAGTTCTGGAATAAAATAGCTCTGACATTTTTGTTTGTGGTAGATTATGGGTGATGGTTCCTGGAGAGCTTTTCCTTGGCTTACTCCGGAGACTTCTTTGTTTTTCTGGATGACTTAGAAGATAGACATATTGAATTTGTTGAGATCTAGTAGTGAAAAATCTGGATTTTCTTACTTTACCCAACATAAGGAATTCTTGATTTCAAGTTACTGAGTGAAAATATGGGGGACATATTTACAAGTCAAATACTCTTGTACCATATATACATTAGCAGTAATTTGACTAAGCAGTCAGAAATAGTGTGTACTGAGATGAACATTCCTTAACTCTTCCCCCTGAAGGATTACACTTGGAATCTTGTTCATGCAAGGCAGGTGCTGTGTCTGTGTCTGCACACTCAGTCTGACTGAGACTTAAAGGAAACTAAATTAGTGAGCCAACAGGTTTCCTATCCTAATTGGTATTAAGCAAGTGTCACTCAAACCCATTTTGTTTTCTGAGACAAACAAAACAACCCCAAGTACACTTTTGATATTATTTTAGGTCAAGAGGAAACATGGTAGTATCACAGGATGTGGACACCCTGTATGTGGTTAGCCTTTGTAAATCAAATGCCTTCAGCAGTTCCATTTGACCTGCTTATAAGTTGGAGATCCTAGAACGTTGCCTGTTAATACAAGGGCACTCATGCAGGCCCCCCTTGGAAAAGCCATTGGAATTGGCTCTGATACTCCTCAGCCCCTACCCTTTTATGGTTCAGTGTTTCCGGTATAGGAGATGCCTCTCTTGAGCATTATTATGTCAATGACTTTGCTAAAGTCTCTATTCGTATTTTACATCTTATTCAGTAGACAGAGGCAGGCAGATCCCTTTGAGTCCAGTGTGGTCTAAAGTAATCCCAGGCCAATAGGGCTGTCTATTAAGATAGTTTCTCAAAAAACGAAAGGCAAAATCCATATAGCCTTGCTTTTATTTAAAACATTGGGAGGGGTGGTGGTGCTAGAGAGATAGCTCACTTGGCTAAAAGCTCTTGCTGCTCTTCCAGAGGCCCCAAGTTTGGCTCATAGAACCTACATCCAGGGCTTACAACTCCCTGCAGCGCCAGCTCCAGAGGATCCAATGCCTGTGGGTCTGAGGGCACCTGCACTTAATTACCACATGGACATGTAATTAAAAATAAAATCGTTCCTAAAATGAACACTTCAAATCCCAGTGTCCTGCTAACACAAATCCCAGTGTCCTGCTAACACAGAAAAGGGCATCCTGTGTGCCTGTGGTGTTTCCAGGTCTCATGACCTCCTTTCCCAAGCTCCTGCCTGTTTGTTCTTCGCTGTGCCTGTTTCCAGCCACACTTGCCTCATCCTAAGCAGATTTAGGAATGCATGGGCCACCCTTGAAGTCTTTCCCCATAACAGCCCCCATGCCTCTGTGCATTGTTCCTGTGGTAGATGCATGCCATTCCGCTGAGGTCCTCCTGGGTGATGACTTGTGCCTATGCCCCATCTGGGAATTATGTCGCCTGTGGAGGTTTGGATAACATCTGTTCCATATACAACCTGAAGACTCGAGAAGGGAATGTGCGGGTGAGCAGAGAGCTACCAGGGCATACAGGTGAGTGATTTAAAGCAGCTCTGTCCTCCTCAGCCTCCCACCTCCTGACAGCCGACCAAGGCTACATGAGAGTGAGTGTGTTCAGGTAGCCACAGGAAGAGGGCAGCAGAGATTATTGTGATTTAAAACGTAATCACTCTCAGGGTGCACATGATGACGGTCCTTTTGTTACTTTGGTGTGGTGCTGGAGTTGCCTTTGGGGCCTTGAGCTCACTGAATGTGCATTCTCTCATGGAGGTATATGCCTACCCCTATGATTTTTTTCTTTCAAATATAACTGTTATTTTGTAAACATTATTAATTTGCTACCCAAAAAAAATCCAATCATAAAAAATACAAAAGGAAGCAAATACAACCTTCTGTACTTCTGCTGCCCTGCAGCAAGGTTCAAGATTGTGTTGTCTCTGCTGGCAGAGTCATTGGTCACCAGCACTGTCACTGTATAGCAATGCTTACTCCCCAGACCTTGTCCTTAGGAGGTCCCTGCCATTCCTGTCCTTCTGTCTGTGGTTTGGGTGCTGCCAGTTGACTACATTTCTACAGAGTCTCAGAACAGTGTTTCCCTGCCATTTGGAGGCTCAGAAGATGCTTATGGAAGGAATCATGCAGATGCCACATTTCCCATAGAGCCTTCACAGCATTATTAGGGTCTTCTCCAGTGCTGGGTCCATTCTGCCATGGGTTGTAGGTTACAGGTACTGGTTAAGGAGCACCCTCTCTCAGGTGGGTCCAACCTGCAGCCTACAGACCACATGCAGCCCAGGATAGCTATGAATGCAACCCAACACTATCAGAAACATACTGAAAATTAAAAAAAAATTTATCGCAATTTTAAAAAATTCAATTGTATGATTCTTAACATGAATTCTGTAGATGACAATGTTGTGTCACAATGTCACGGTTAAACACACTGTACTGCTAATAGGCTGCCTTGCCTACTGAAACCTCAGAAGGCAGTGAGGGATTGGAATTACTAAAGCACAGCAGTGTGTCCCATGGACAAGGCTCTATTGCCCGAGTTTAGATTTTTATCTCGTTTCTGTGTCACTGGATCCATGGCCTGACATTTGCTACTCTCTGCCGCAGGCTACTTATCCTGCTGCCGATTCTTAGACGATGGACAAATCATTACAAGTTCAGGAGACACAACTTGGTAAGTCCATCTGAAAAGAAGCCCAACTTAGTGGGCACACACTGGGGAGGGATGTGGCCATCTGTGTCTGTCCTTGTGTTCACTCACAGTGCTCTGTGGGACATCGAGACTGGACAGCAGACTACGACATTCGCAGGACACTCGGGTGATGTGATGAGTCTCTCACTGAGTCCTGACTTGAAGACCTTTGTTTCTGGTGCTTGTGACGCTTCTTCAAAACTGTGGGATGTCCGAGATGGGATGTGTAGACAGTCTTTCACGGGACACATCTCAGACATCAATGCTGTCAGCGTAAGTGAAGGATGTTTGTTTGTTTGTTTGTTTGTTTGTTTGGGGGACAGAGTCTCATATAGTCCAGGATGGCCTCTAACTTGCTGTGTAGCTGAGGATGACTTCATACTCCTGATCGTCCTGATACTGCCACCTCTACCTCTCAAAACTTTACTAAAGTGCTGAACGTGACACCATTATAACAAATTGCTTGCATAGGGTCTTAAACCAGTGTGCCCTCACAACACCAAATCCTCAGTAGTCTTGATTTTTAACATTTTAATCCATAAATCTGAGTGCTTATTTTTAGATAAGATACAAGCTTTATTTTCAAAACAAGTAGGGACACATTGTGGTGAGCAGGTAGCTTCATTGGTGTTCACTGTGTGTTTGGATGAGAAGCCATCCTGTATCTAGGGGAACCACACAGGGTTCGTGAGGAAGAGGGTGCTGTTTTTTATAGAGACAGCCAAATCAGAGAGGTGTTGGTTCTGCCATGTACCGGCTTTGAAACTGACCAAGTTGCATGTCAGCCAACCTCACACTCCAGCCTTCCTAAGAGGACTAAAGCTACTTTCTCAGAACACAGTATGGAGAATAAATGGATAGTGTATTGGAAACACAGAAAATGATGGAGATTATTAGAATTACTGCAGTGTGTGTGTGTGTGCGTGTGCGTGTGTGCGTGGGTGTGTGTGCACGTGCGCGTGCACACACACACTCATGCTTGTGCATGTGCACACAGGTGCCTGTGCCTATGTATGCCCATGTGTGCACATGCTATGGAGGTCAAATGTGGACATCTGATAATACCTCCTTGATTTTATTTCCTCCTCCTTTTGTGGTACAGGGTCTCATTAGCTCTGGCTGGCTTGGAACTTACTGTGTAGACTAGGGCTGGTTTTAAATACAGAGATCCTCCTGCTCTGCCTCCCAAGAGCTGGGATTATAGGTATGGATGGCTATGTCCACCTTGTACACCTTAGTTTTGGAGAGCATCTCTCACTGAACCTGGACTAATCAAGTCAGGCCAGCTGGCTCTTGAGTTCTGGGGATGTGCCTGACTGCAGAAGCCTTGGTGCTGCAGTGACTGGTGAGTACCATTTCACATGCATGCTGGCGTTCAGTTTGGGTCCTCTTGATCGATCGTGCAGCAGGCGCTTCACTCAACGAGCCATCTCCCTAGTCCTGCTACTTCATAGTTTTAAGAAACCCAGTCAGACAGTCACAAGTAAGTTAGGCAGATGCAAAGTGCTGGAGATGATAAAGGGAGATGAGCCAGTCATGGGCTCTTGAAAAACGTGAAAATGACAATGACAATACAAGTGATTATCAAGTGGTGATCGAGAGGTGGTGCTCTGAAGGATGGAGCCGCCACTTTGAGTCAGCTGAGTGCTCTGTACAGTTCAGATGCCAAAGGCTGTAGACATGAGACATTCCATGGGAACCATGCTTGTCAATTGCAGTTAAGACATTCTAATTCTATGAGAAGATGCTTTACAGTGTTTGTGTTTCTTTATTATTCCCATGCTAACAGTCATTTTCATATGGTTGTGTAGATTACAGCTGTCCGTTTGCTATATATTGCTATGTTAAAACCCTGACTAAAAGGAACTTGGAGAGAAAAGAGTTTATTTCAGTTTACACTTCCAGGTAACAGTCTATCACTGAGGGAAGTCAGGGCAGGAACTCTAGATAGGAACCTGGAGGCAGGAACTGAGGCAGAGACCATGGAGGAGTGCTGCTTCCTGCTTGTTCCCTATGGATTGCAGGGCTTTTTTTTTTTTTTTTTTAATAACCCAGGATTAGCTGTCCAGGGGTGATACACAGCAAAGTGGACTGGGCTTGCCCACATCAATGATTTTTCAAAAAATGCCTCATAGACTTGCCTACAGGCCAATCCAATAGAGATGGAGGCATCTTCTCAGTTAAGATTCCCCCTTCCCAAATAACTCTGTAGTTTGTCAGATGGAGAAAAACTGACCAATGCAGCTTCAGAGAGCAGATGCTCAGTCTTCCTGTTGCAGGTCAGCCTGCCTATATTGACAGCATCCAGAGGAGGCACACCTGCCCTATCCTTGATGGGTCACTTTCACAAGGCTGAGTGTGCCTCTTATATTCAGTTACCAAGGGCTTTTAAAAGATGTATAGTGTGTGTGCTTGTGTCCATCTGCACAGATGTTTACTTTTCTACACAGGCGTGTGCATCTACACAGGTGTGTGCAGGTGCCCCTGAAAGCCAAAAGAACGCACTGATTATGGAATGCCCTAGAGCCAGAGTTAGAGTTGATTGTAAACTACTTGATGTGGGAGCTGGGTACTGAACCCTAGTCAGCTGTAAGAGCAGCAAATGCTGTTAAGTTTTAAAAAGCAGGAACAAACGTTGAATTTTATCACTTTCCCTTTATCTATTGATGTGTGCCCCACCCCCTGGCCTGTGTCTGTGGTGCTGAGTATTGAACCCACTCCCTCATGAATGCTAGGCAGATGCTCATTTTTGTTTGTTTATTATTACTATGGTTATTTTAAATTTTGTGTGTGAGCAATGTGGCACCTGTGCATGTGTATGGGGTAAATAGACCTTCGTATACACATGCAAAGGACCAAACAAGATCAGGTGTCCTCTATAACTTTATCACTTAAGGCAGGTTTCACTGAACTGGAAGCTTGTCTTCTTGGCTGAGCTGGTTCATTAGCAATTTCTCAGGGTCTTCTGCCTATCTCTGCCCACAGTGCTGGGGTTACAGATACACAGCCATGCCCACAGTGCTCGGATTACAGGCACCTCAGCCATGACCACAGCTCTGGGGTTACAGGCACTCAGCCATGCCCACAATGCTGGGGTTACAGGCACTCAGCCATGCCCACAGCTCTGGGGTTACAAGCATGCTCAGCCATGCTCAAACTGTCACACAGGATCTGGGAATTCAAATTCCATGTCCTCATGTCCTCTTGCAAGTGTTCTATTCCAGTCCCTACAATAGTGAATTTACAGAGACCAATACTGTTTTCATAGTTAGTTTGTGGGGACAAGACTGTTAGTTCACACTGAGGCCCTTTTGAAATGAAATAGTTGAGAGAAAAATATTGTATAAGTAGCCTAGGTTTTAGGACTAAGACCATGCCTTAGTCTCAGCACTTCAGAGACAGAAGTGGGAAAATTGCTGCAAATTTGAAGCCAGCCTGGACTACATTGTGAAACTTTGTCTTCAAAAGGCCAAGAGTGAGTGGAGCTGGGTGGTTGTGGCAATGGTGCATACCTTTAATCTCTGAATTTGAGGCCAGCCTGATCTACAGAGTGAGTTCCAGAACAGCTAGGACTGCACAGAGAAACCCTGTCTCAGAAAACAAAAACAAACAGCAACAACAACAAAGCCACGAGTGGCCTGGAGAGATGGGATAAATAAAAGGAAGTGGCCAGGGATGCCAGCACAGGGAAGAGGCTAGAGAAGGCTTTGACCTTCACAGCAGCCAAACCATGAGGCGCACAGTGAGGTAGGAGGAAGGATTTTATGGACCCGGTCCTGGAGCCTTCCAGGAAGGTGAGGAAAACATTTCCAAGAACTGTGACCATCAGTGAAACAGTGGAGGGCCGTCCCCATGCTTACTAACAGGCTGGAAATAACTCTGACCCACTACATGAATCCTTCTCGAACTTCCAACTGTACAGTCAGATCTGAGCCTAAAGAAAGATACGTCAGGAAGCTGAAAGAATAATTATGACATATTTGTATTCAGTAATTAGAAATACATTTAATTAAAGCAACTATATCCATCAAACCACTATTTTACAACCTAAGGGTAGATTATAATAATATTAAGTTAATAGTTATTAAAATGTTAGTATTTTAAAACTAGTAGTGTAGTTCAGTGGTTCAGCACTTGCTTTGCATGAGGACCAGGGCTAATGCTGTACACAGAAACAGAACACAAGGTTGTTGCCAGGAATTTAGTGAATGATATAGCAGAAGATCAATAGAAAAATTAATTAACAGCTGGACAACTGCTTAAGTATTAAGAAAATTAAGTTAGAGCCCTACTTTGAAGGCTGTTTATTAAATAGACTCCAGATGGGTAAGCTTCCTATATGAGATGAAAAGAACTAAGGTAGTTATGGGCTGCTTGTTAAGAGTAATGAGGGACACCGGGGAGATGGCTCAGTTGGTACCCACTGTGCTCCACTGAAGACCTGACTTGGATCCACACAACTCACATAACGAAGCTGGCATGGCAGTTCTGCCTGTTGTAAATCCCAGCCCTGGGGGAGCAGACAGGAGTCCTGGGGGCTTGCTCTGTAGATCCAGGTTCTGTGAGAGACTTCTTCTAAACAACATGAACATGAAATATAGAATAACTGAGGGAAACAGCTGATGTTGACTCTGGTTCCATGCACTCCCATACACACATGTATAAAGTATGTAATCAAAGAGAGTCAGGTGTGGTGGCACATACTGCTCAGGAGGTAGAGGCAGAAGGATCAAATGTTCAAGAGCATCCTCACCTACCCAGTGAGTTCAAGGTCAGCCTAGGATACAGGAGCATCTGTCTCAAAAACAAAGTGAATGAAAGATATCTAAGTGAAAGCTAAACAAACCTGACTACAGACAACCTTGACATTCTGCAGAGTCACATTTGTAGGAAATAAAGCCAATTTACAGCCATTTTTTTCCCTATATGTTAAGAAATCAACACCAACAGCTCATTTGCAGAAAACAAAAGTAGTCCCGAGAAAGTGGTTCCCAGAAGCTGAAAATGTGCCAGATGAAAAGCACATTGACTAGGGCTGCACTGGGAAATGTTACTCATATACCAGCCATGGCTGGCTCGGTAACACTCCATATCCAAGCCAGTGGAAGTTGTGTGTTTTCTGGCCTTCTGCATGTGTAATATATATGATGTGTGTGCAGGCAGGTATGGTGCTCATGTGTGTATGTGTAAACACCAGTGGTGTAGGCCAGAGGCTGATGTGTGTCCTTGGTCAATCTTCAATTTATTCACTGAGGCAGGATCTCTCAGTTGAACCCAGGGTTCACCTATACTAGTCTAGCTAGTTAGCATGCTCTGGGGATTTCATTGCTGTCACCCAAATGCTGAGGTACAGGTAGGCCCCCACACTTAGCCAGCATTTCTGTGGGTGCTATGGCATAGCATGATGGTGGCATTTGCCCATTCTGGTCTTCACAAGCACACAAGCGCTTGATCTGCTGAGCAATCTCCCATCACCAGTGTTCCGTATTTCCAAAATCTTTCCAATTTAGTTCTCGTAATAGGATTCTGAAATATTTAAACAGTCTATAAATAGTAATACTTGATTTATGGTCAGCACAGGGAATTTTAATTTGCTCTGTTTTAGACCTGTGTGTAGGGACCTCCTCTTAGGCATCCTGATGGCCCCTGGTCCTGGGAGCCACTTCACTGAATCTAATCTTAGTGTGGACATGCCGCCCAAGCCTGCTGTCATTGTGCAGTGGAGCCCACTGCTCCTGACTCCTAAGTGACAAGCACAGAGTAACAATGAACTGAAATGTTTTGATTAGACAAGTAAAGGACCACTGGCAGTATTGTTAACACTGTGTGAACAATGGGCAGCACACTTTGCATATGTTATTCAGTCCCAATACTTCAACTAAAACTAAAGCCCAGGATATTAAAAAAAAAAATAATAATATGTATCAGGCCAGGTGTGGTGGCTCACTTTTGTAACCCTAGCACCTAGGAGGCTGGAACAGGAGTGTTGTGAGTTCTGGGTCATCCTGGGCTGCATGGTGAGACCCTGGCTCACATAAAAAAGAAACAAACTTATCTGCCACTGATATGGGAAGAAGCAAAATTAGACTCTAAGCCTGCCTCACCTCCCATCCCAGGTTCTCTGCCTGCATGGTCTCTGTAGGCATCTATTGTGGTGTAGACCAATCTCACCACACCTCCAATGCCAGGTCCTCTGCCTCCATTGTTTTTATGTCTTTCTTCATTCTAGTTCTTCCCAAATGGATATGCCTTTGCCACCGGCTCTGATGATGCCACTTGCCGGCTCTTTGACCTTCGTGCAGACCAAGAGCTACTGCTGTATTCTCATGACAATATCATCTGCGGCATCACTTCTGTGGCCTTCTCAAAGAGCGGGCGCCTCCTGCTGGCCGGCTATGATGACTTCAACTGCAGTGTGTGGGATGCACTGAAAGGAGGTCGGGCAGGTTAGTGATTCTGTCTTCAGAAGCTTGAGGGCTGCTGGGCATCCTGGAGCTATCAGAACAGCAGCGGGGTGGCTGTCCTTTGTATTCTTCATTCCCTTTCATAATTGGATCATATGCCCTATTGAAGAATGGCATTAGGTCCTATAATGGTAAATTAGGGGTCAAGAACAGTGAATATAAAACGGTGCCATCTTTCACAGATCGGCTTTCTTACATCTTGGTTTGTTTGCTTATTATTCTGAGACGTGTTTTTATGCTTGGAACTCACTATGAAGCTTGGGCTGGCCTTGAGCTCCCTATCATCTGCCTTAGCCTTCCAAATACTGGGATTGCTGGTGAATGCCACCATCGTGCTATGCTAAGCTGTCACTCAGGGCTAAGCCATCATTCTCTAACCTGACAGGAAGCATGGTTTCTGCTGTGGCTAATCCTCCGAGGACACTGGCACTCTTCCAAGTCTCAACAGAAACCCTCGACTGCAGGTCCCATTAAAAGACAACAGCAACCATACTGGACTTGGGATTAAATAGATTTAGTTTTTTTAATGTTAACTAATTTAAAATTATACTCCAGGAATCAAATGGCTGTGTGTGGTTTGTTACTAAAACACAGCAAACATTTTCTGCACCCCAAGTAAGCTAGTAGGGTACAGTGGTGTACGCATGTAATCCCAATACACAGGAGACAGAGACAGGAGATCACAAGTTTGAGGCCAGCCTGGGCTATATACATCAAGACCCCATCTCAAAACAAAACTTTAAATAGCATGCCTTCATTGCTGCCAATTTATTTTTTTCTTGGTTTTTCAAGATAGGGTTTCTCTGTGTAGCCTTGGCTGTCCTGGACCTCACTCTGTAGACCAGGCTGGCCTCAAACTCACAGAAATCTGCTCGCCTCTGCCTCCTGAGTGCTGGGATTAAAGGCGTGTGCCACCACCATCCAGCTACTCAAATCTTGAGATTTGTTCATTTTGTCCTATGCAATAAAAGGAACAAATGAAAGTTATTGAGCTCTATGGCTTCACTAAGTTACAGTCTGTTCGTGTTTGGTGGTGAACAGAAAGAACTAAATGAATGATTTGGCCTATTTTGGAAATAGGATGGAAGGCAATTGTCTTGTTCTTCTGGGAAAAAGTACACTGCATTGAACTTCAACTTGGAAGTGTGTCTTTATTGAAAGTAGCACAGCTCAGTGTAGCAAAACTGGAATATCATGAACTTATTGGACATGTGGAATTTGCCTTTACATGTTTTCCTAGATAGAAAAATTACCAAACACCCAGGTATATAACACATTCTTGCTATCAGCACTTGGGAGGTAGACTCAGGAAGATCAGGAGCTTAAGGTTATCTTTGGCTGCTTACTAAATTCAAGATCAGTCTAGACTACGTGAGACCTATCTCAATTAACAAAAAACAAACAAAAAAAAAAACATTAACTTTTCAAAAATTGAAAACACAAATTGATTGCCATGTTAAAAATTCAAGTAATCCATGGTATGTTGTGTCACTGTGCCTGACTTACCTGGCAGTAGTCTCCAGGATACCTGTTCTTTCTTAATCACCATCTGCATGGTAATGCACAACTTTTGCAGTTCTAAAACTCGAATTTAACTCTGAATTGACCTTTCTTTGTAGGTGTCCTTGCTGGTCATGACAACCGCGTTAGCTGCTTAGGTGTGACTGATGATGGGATGGCTGTGGCCACCGGCTCCTGGGACAGTTTTCTTAGAATCTGGAATTAACAATGTCATATTTTCTGTTCTCCAATGGTTATCCGGAGAAATCCATGCTACAGCCTACAGCTGTGAGGAAAAAAACAAACAAACTCTACCTTCTATTTGTGGATGAAGATTTTTTTCTATTCATATGACTACATACAAAAGTCAGCTTTCAGTAAACTACAAGCAAATGGGGGTAAAAGAAACAATCAAGACTAAGGTCCCTTGCTGAGTCAAAGGGTCAGAGTATTGAGTAGCTGTGTTGACTCTAATCCCGACAGATTCTTGTTTGTGTTGGTCTTCTTTCTGTAGGTTAGAATGTATTCTGTAGCAGATGACAACTGTGTTTGCATTTTGTTAGGGACACCCCTTGAGCTCTGTATATATGAGAAATGTTACATTTTTAAAGTGTTGTCATGGAAGAGCTAGGACCCATGATAGGCAGAAGTGAAATTGTAGATATATGTACTGTCTGAAGGAGTCCCCCTGGGTTCTGACATTGCATTTTAACCTGACTCCAACAGCTTCATGATCACGAGCGCAGGTAGGTGAGGGAGCTGTTCATGCATTCTTTTCCGTCCTTTGAGGGGATAGGTGATGTGAAGGCCAGGGTGAAAAATTTCACTTTGACATAGGGATGCACTGAAATGTCATTACAATTTATTCTATTAATAATCAGTAGACACTGGCATGTAACTTTTGGCATTCTAAAAGGCTGAGCCCTTTGAACCATTGTACCTGTTAATTTTACCTTCTGAAACCAAGTTTGTAAAATGTACTACTATTTCAGAAGTTTGACAAAACCTGACTGTCCCTGCATCTGAAGACTCTTGCCCAGTATTCTCTGTGATAGGTAGGGAAACAGTGGCTCACCTTTTAACACTTTTGAGAAATAAATGTAAACTCATCTACTCAACTGACACTAACATATATAAGATGGCTTTATGAATACTATGTAATTAAAATCTGAATTGGTTTAAATTATGTGTACCCTTGAACTTTTGCTTTCCCATTTTGATGGTGCTGCAGAAGGAATCCAGGACCTTGTGCCCGCCAGGCTTGCCCTGCATCCCTGGCTCCTCAGATGGGAAGCTTTCTATTGCTCTTCTTCTCAGCATGACACACCTGTTTCTAAGTAGCTCACTGCTACTTATACTTAGAGCTGAACCCTAGAACCTAAAGCATTGCTTCAGAGGGGTTCATCTTGCAGCAAGCTCTCCAACGGCTCAATAAAGTGTCAGTCACTGGGCTGCCCTGCCTCCAGACTGTACAGAGACGCCTCTCCTCTTTTTCGCCTGCAAATTTCAATGATTGATAATAGCAGACTATTAAGTCTTGATGGGTGCTACCTTTGTGGGTTACTGGATGTATACAAACACATTGTTTTGTAATTCAATAACATGTAAGTTGCTGCGTTAAAGTTGATCACCTGTAACTGTAACCTTAAGACTCCAAACTGTAAATCTGTAAGTTTTCATCCTTGCCTTATACTGTGAATGTGCCCATGTATGTATCTGCTACGATGAAATCATCAGTTTTATTAAGGCCAGTTGATCTTAAAAAAACTCCAGTGGACAGGGCTTCCTCCCACACAGCTCCAGGGTTGGACCTGAGTGGTCCAGAAAGGGAATGAAAAGCAGACACAGACACAGGAAAGCTTGGCTCATGTAGACTGGGCTCTGTCTGTGATGGAGAAACTGCAGCCCCGGGAAGTGAGTGTTATATGGAGTAGCAGTAGTGGTGCTACTGCATACAGATGAACAAGGAGCATTTACAGAATGCTGCTGGATCAAGGAAACAGGTTTAGCTAATCTCTGTAGAGCAGCCTCTGCAGGGGAAGACTTCAGGTTGTAAACACTGTGGGAGGGTGGGGGTGCTATGGTGGGCTTTGCCATTCTCCCATGGGTCTGAAGCAAGGGTCTTTGACACAGCAGTACCCATGTCAACAGCACATAGTCACTCAGGGCTTCCTTTGCTCTCTTCAGGATGGAGAACTGAGATACAGAGTAGAAGAGAAACAGACCATCGGTGGCAGGTGTGAATGTGTCCCTTAGTCCTTAGTATCTGGGACCCCTCTGCTCCTGTGTACTTGTCAAATAGGGAGGTCACTTCATAAAGCATAGCTCCTGAAATAGGACACATTTTATTTCAAAGTGCCCTACCACTTGGCTACATCTACAATCTGCCCTACCCAAGTCAGAAGAGTTGAGGCATCTTAGAGGATCACAGTCATTCCCTCAAAAAGGGCATGTGTTTAAGTCCACTGTGTAGCTCAGAATTCATGCAAAACTCTGTTCAAAACAGCACTTCTAGTGTGCATTAAAAAATGGGGCTAGGGATTTAACCTGGGTAAAATGCTTGACATGTAAGACCTGGCACATCCTCAACTGTGTGTGTACGTGTGTCAGGCAAAAGTCATACTAAAAATTTCCTATGGCCCTAAATAGTGAAAAATGGAATTTAGGCCTGAAGAGTTGGCTCAGCAGTCAAGAGCACTTGTTACTCTTGCAGAGAACCTGGATTCAATTCCCAGCAACCATATGGCAGCTCATAACCACCTGTAACTCCAGCCCCAGGGAATCTGACTTCTTTGGGCACTAGGCACATACACATACATGCAGGCAAAACATTCATACACAAAATAAATCTGTACAAAGGAATGTACTTTCATGTTTCTAAGAGCTTGTACAGAACAGAATTTAAAGGTTCCCTTTACTAGGAACCATGATGAACATGTGGCTAACTGTATACACAGCACCAACGTCTGACACAGCAATGACCTTGCTCAAGTGGCTTTCTACTGGTTGATGCCTTTAGAGCATCACTGCAATTTCTGCTGTGGCTAAATACAGTGCCTTAGCAGGTTGATACATAGCATGCATAACATCAAACAAAAGTTGTCTTTGGGATTAGCGAGATTTTTAACGTTTTGGCATGGCTCCTTCCTTGGCCTCTAGCGGGGTCCACAGACATCTGTCACTATGATGCTTCCCCCAAGAGTTATTTAAGGGCACATTTCTTTTCTAAGGCAGTGTGACCACCATGTGGTTGACTGCCTCAAAGTGCTGTTGAGGAAGGACATCTCCATCTACCTTGACATGAACAGGCTTCATTTTTGATAGCTGCACTCCATGTAATATTCCAGGTCTCTAATTAGCTTGGACTTAGTTGTGATACACATGTACTGTACTGAATTCCAAATCCATAAAAGCAAAGTGTTGGGATCTGGTCCTTCAAGAACAAGTCTAGGCAGTAGCTGTCATTTTAATTAAGATTTAGCAAGCTGACTGATGTGTGTCTTGGATGTTATAGAATTTTAATCTATTAATGAGAAATGAACTAGTGCATGCCTATAACCCTTCACTCGGAAGGCTGCAACAGAGGGATCACTGAGAGCTGAGGCCAGTCAACCAGGGCTAGCAGATGGAAACCTTATCCCAGGGACTAGAGAGATGGCTCTGTAGTTAACTGCTTGCTGTTCTCACAGAGGGCTGAGTTCAGTTCCCAATTCAGGTGGCTAACAATTGCCTGTAACTTCAAGGGATCCAAAGCCCTCTTCTGGCCTCCTCAGGTACCTGCACACACATAATTCATAATAAATCCTTTTTAAAAGAAGAATTCATACCTTAAAACACCATAAAAAAGGATTGTTCTATTGCTGAAAAGTACTCTCTAACCCTGTTGAGGTCTTAGATTTAGTAGTAAAACTAAGACTTTATTTTAGAAGTGGAACTATTCAGGGAAATTATGTGACTATGAACATCTTGGATTTTGGTTGAACTGTTGACCAACTAGCCTAGAAGAACTGAAAAGGCACTCCCCCAGATGGACCTGCAGTCATTTCAATCAAGGAATATTCTTTTAGAATCTACAGACCACCCCAAGCTGCAAAAATACTTAAGTACTGAGTTCATGTTTTCTCTCTGGCCACTGTGGAAAGCATGGTTTAAAGTGATGTTTAGGCTCCTGTTTTTGAAAGCCACCCACAGGTGAGTCTGTCATTTTACAGAGATAATCTTAAATTGGATGCTGTGGAATGTGAAACATTCTGCTCTTCACTGGCTACAACAGGTGCTCACATGATGTCTAAGTCAACATCCATCTTTAGCCACAGACTGATGGAACATCTTGCATTTAGGAAATGTTTTCCATGTTGATAGTTTTCTAACAGTTCTTTTTATTCTTCTTAAACCCAATGGCTGATTTTGTGGAGGAGGTATGAGAATGTAGCGTAATAAAGAAAAAACTTGTTTCAACTAGTATGAAATCTTCCATGGCATAGCCCTTAACTAGGACTTCAATGGCACAGCTGTAGGTTGTCCAGGCCTTTTTGTCCTTACACAACGGTGCTCTAGCCTGTCATTTTCTCATCAAACAGCCATGAGATAGCCCACACAGTTGGTTTGAGTATTTTCCTCTAAGGCACCTTAGAAATGCCCTCAAATATTTTCAACACATGAAACCAATTGACTAGGAATGTCAGCCATGTCTAAAGCTTGACCATACAAGCAGAGGACTTGTGCCATGACTTGACAGTATTCTGAGATAGAACAGTGATTCACTCCTAATTTGTACAGCTGATTATAAAATACTGTTGTAGTGAGCTGATTCTGTAATCTATAACCAATAAAGTGCTTTTCATCATCGTTTGTTGTACTGTGTTTTAAATCAAATTTTAGTAAGATTTTAAAAATTAAGCCCCAGAACTAAACTCTAGTACTTCCATGGTTAGCTCTACTTCCTTTGTTTAAATACCGGTCTTGATCTTAAAAAAAAAAAAAAAAAGGTGTCACCAACCCAAAGCTAGCTTTTAGTTTATTATTAAAACCAGATTTCTCATTCACGAGTTGGTCAGTCTTTCCCTTAGTCAGCACAAGAGCAGGTCTGTAATTCTAGTACTTGGGGGATAGATGCAGGAAAATCCCAAATATGAGGACAGCTTGGGCTACATGGTAAGATCCTGTCTCAAAAGAAACATCCATGCTTTTCCTGTTGCTTGGGATAATTTAGCTTCATTTTTAAAATTGAGAAATCTATTCAATGTTTGTATTGTCTTATTACAATTTCAAGATTAACAAGAAGAGTTTGAATTAGTTACCAATACAAACAAAAGTCAGGGCATGTTGGCACACACCTTTAATCCCAGCACTCAGGAGGCAAGGGCAGCCTGGTCTACAAAGCTAGTTCCAGGACAGCCAGGGCTGTTACAGAGAAACCTTGTCTCAACAAGAACAAAGGTTTGTGTTGGTTATATCTATTCAGGCAGTCTTGCTAGCTCAGTACTTAACAGCTACATGTTTCCCATGGAAAACCTCTCAAGTGGCCCAACAGTGGTAAACCAGGGATCTCACATGGTGACTGGCCAAAGGAAGTAAATTATAACAGTGCAGTAAACAGGGCCTCAAATGTGAGAGAACTCATATGACTACCATGAAAATGACTGGGAGCTGATAATGAAAGTCACTAGTTTTGAGATAAATGCTGCATTTATCAACTAATAGACAAATAGGTTTATTTTCATCTTGTAAGCTTGCATACTTATAAAAAAATGTTTTGTAGAAAGTTAAGATCATACAAAGTTTATAAATTCTGTAAACATACACAGGAAATCAAGTATGTACGTAGTTACCGAGCAGTAACAGTTGTGATTACATTCTGTGTGATGCTGGAGCCCAGCTAGCACAGGTACACTCTTGCATGGTAGAGGAGCTGACTCCCAGTTTTTCAACACTGTTCTCAACAGCCATGACCTGGTCAGCCAGGAGCTATATTCCTAACTAGTGATGGAAAGTATCTTGTACTATGAACTGGTTCACAGACTTCTGCGTTAAATGAATGGAACCACCTGCAGGATTTCATACCTCTGTGTTGAATCTTGAGAATTTGCACTGAAAGTTTAAAAGGAATGTTGATGACCCAGGGATAACCCAGAGAACTACACTGTAACACACTAATTATGTGGCTAGAATTTAAAGTGCTCTGTGTAACTTTGTAACTTAGGTTAGCAGACCTCAATTTCAGATAGTAGTTTTTCACCTAATTCCACATGGTTGACTGTACCATTTGAGAGGGAGGAGGTGAAAAATCAGCAATAATAGCAAAAGGTAGTCACGCATGTTTAAATTTGAATATTGAGCCCAAAATCCAATTTGACTAAAACGTAAGTCTGAAACCTTTATATGGTCTAAATAATGGTATATAAAATACTGTAACATTCTTCAAATATCTTAAAAATAAAAGGTATATCTAGGGCCAGGTACGGTGGTGCGTGCCTTTAATCCTATCACTCAGGAGCCAGAGGTGGGTGGATCAGTGGAGTGCAGTGACATCCAGGAAATACTCACAGGTTAGCACTTTACCTTTCAGAGTCAGGTCAGAGACACAATTCTGCCTTGCCATTTAAAAGTGTTCTCATACACACTGTCAATCAGGCTTTAATAGAGAGGCACACATAATACCGTTCACTAACACAGAGTGATAATTTTTAGTGGAGCCTAAGGAAACTCATGTAATTAAACTCAGAGCTTCCAATGTGTGAGAGAGATTCTTAAGGATACATCTGTCATAGTCCTGTCTCCACTGTCATGTCAGCACATACCATATACACCTCCTGTGTCCCCCTCTGGCCATCCCTGCAGACCTTCCACCTCACATTTAGGCAGAAAAACTCACCTTGCTGAACTCAAGGCTGCAAATGTTTCTAAAGAGACAGACACTTCATGCATGACTCTTAATGACAGGCCTTTCTACTATTTCACATCCATTTTAATGGGAATAAAAGAAAGGGTAAAAACCGTGTTTAGTAGTGGTTACATCTTTGCTGTGAGGGCAAAGTGACTGTAGAACACCCAGGAGCAGCCCACGCTCCCTTGTTTGAACAAATCAGCTTATAAACAAATTCAATATTCCCATTAAAGAAGGCATCAAGAACTAGTGAAGGAAGATGAAAAGATCTCTAACTCCTGGATGCCAGGAAGCAGTTACTCAGAATCAAAGACCAAAGCCCTGGTTAAGAGCTGCAGGACCCACCCTCAGGTGTTACACAGTGGGTTCCAGTGTTTCTAAAGAAATCCATCATTCAATCCAAACAGTTCAGTCTTTACTCCAAACTACAGCTAATGACGCATCGCCTCACTTCAAAAAGTGCGAACCCCCTTGAGACAGGTCATTACCACAGTCGGCAAGGCATCGATATTCAAAGTTAGTAATTCATACTGAGGTCATTTCATAAAACTAGTCTTCCAAGTCCGCTTCCTTCTACAATGTGATCGCCACAGCAGCCTTTGTTGTTAGGATTCTTCATTGCTTGAGGGTAGAAACTGCTTTGAAAAGTTCTCCAGCTCACTTTCAAGTTGAACAGCTTTATTTCTAATTAAAACACAATGAATAAAACACCAACCTAATTATCCTAACAGTCAATGATAAAAATCATTCTATCCAAGCTTAGAAACAGTCCCTCTAAGAAGCTGTGGCCATCCTTACTGAAACTCATATATGACTGTTAACCATGTGTGTTCCTGTCACGCTCACAGTGAACACCTCAGGTTTAGAGCAGTGATACTAGAGAATGGTGGACTTCAGCTGGGCATTGGTGGTGCACACTTTTAGTCCCAGCATTTGGGAGGCAGAGGCAGGTGGATCTCTGTGAGTTCGAGGACAGCCTGGTCTACAGAGCTAGTTCCAGGACAGGCTCCAAAGCTACACAGAGAAACCCAGTCTCGAAAAACCAAAAAGAATGGCAAACTTCAATATCAAAACAGCCTAATAGCTTAAATGGCAGTTACATCTAAAGTCACGATCATAACTATAAAGTGTAAAATACTGAATGACTCATACTCCACACGCAAAGAAGCTGGCAAAGAGCACATTAGAATCATACTTGGTATCAATTGCCTATGGGAGAAAGCCCTGACTGAATTACCAGCCACAGATCTATGCAGCACATTCTCATACCATGTAGGTAGGGCACGTACTCACGGAGAAGAGACTATTTGGAGAGAAGGGAGTTGTTCTGTCGTTTGTGAAAACATGACTAAGGTCACAGAAGTGAAATGTATATATGCCAGTAAATATATTTCTTCAGGTAACACTCCTGAAACACTGGACAGGATAGCTGAGCCTAAGTTGGTAATTGTGATTCCAACCAGCCATGCCTTGCTAGGCTAGAAACTGGCTTGGCATGTGAACACACAGGCAATGCAAACAGTAGAATTCATGGAAACTAACACCTGAGTACTGCACTGCACTGCACCCTTGCAAAGGCTCTATGACTAACAATGAGCAGTGTGTTGGCACAACATGTTTATTTGACTAATTACATATGCCCCCAAAACTCAGGCCATGAGACAGTCCTCCAGTCTGCAGAACCTGGACACAAAGCTGCTCTTTGATGTAGAGCTATGTATTTGTAGTGCAAGCCCACAGTCAGTGGCGTTGCTCAGACAATGCCTAACACTACTCCAAGTCATGCTGGCAAGCAGCTCGTGATTAAGGAAGTAAGAATAACAACTGCTAAGTTAGACCTGATGGTGACACTTCCACTCCTATCTCCTAAGGACCCATAATAAATCCTAACAATGCAGAAGTCCAATTTATCAGGATACCTGTATATTAACTGGTTCAAACCCAAGTCTCCTCAGACCTCAGAAAGAACAGGTTATGTTTTGGGATGTTGTTTGTTTGGTTTGGGTACTATTGTTTTTTGTTTTTTAAAGTAAGGCCTCATGGCTCAAGCTGATCTTGAACTTGCCATGTACCTGAGGATAACTTTAATCTATCCCTGTGTGCTAGGCACACAGGTTTTTTGTCACAGTGCCCAACTGTCATTTTAAATTATTGAACTGTTCTAAAAGAGAATTATACTAGCCTAACATAAAGTAGAAGCCCTTTAAATTCCTTTTAATTCAGATGAACTCTCCTGTTGCAACTGGCTTTCATTGAAATCCCAAAGCATAAGGAAATAAATATGGACAGCCAATGTCTTTTAGATTTATTTTTATTTTATGTGTGTTTTGCCTACATGTATATATATGCACCACTTGCATGCCTGATGCTGAAAGAAGCCAAAGAGGGCTTGGAATCTCTTGGAACTAGAGTTACAGGTAGCTTCTAGGTATCCCTTGCTATATACAGTTTCCAGTTTTATGAAGTCCACATGGGTGCTGGGAACCAACCCTGAGTAGGGTTCTCTACAAAAGCAACAAGTGCTCTTGCTGAGCCATTTCTCCAGCCCCAAATATGGAAACTCTTAATTTAAAGCAACAAAGAAAGTTAATTAAAAAGTTCTATTACAAAAGCTTTAGTGACTTCATTTAATTGCATTTTGGATGTGTGATGAAATTAGATATTCATGTTATTGAGAGGGAAAAAGTTTACCTTAAGAGTTTCGAGTTGTTTTGTATTTTCTCCAGCTGATCTATTTCTTTGGATAATCTAGTAATTTCTTCTTCCAGATTTTTCTGAGTTACATCAACTTGTTGGCAAAGTCGAGCAAAAGTGGTAGCCATTTCTCTAAAAGAAAAAAAATATTAAAAAAAAACTTGTCATTTGTTTTATGAAACAGGATTTCCTTAGAAAGTCCTAGCTGGCCTTGAACTCAGAGATCTACCTGCCTCTGTCTTTGGAGTGCTGGGACTAAAGGTGTGCACCACTATGCATAGCTAAAGAAGAAAACTATTTTAATAACAGTTAAGCCAGTAGGCCAGCATGGTACTTGTCAACCTAGTGTAACTTAAGGCTCCTTTACTTTGCCTCAAGATAACATGCTCGGAAGATTGGGCTACTGCTTCCAAGGGGTTATGAAAACAAAGGAGACAAAATGCCAAAAGTGCTATAAAGCCTACAGCCCACAACAATAACTCACTCACCAAGGTATCTCCAGTAGTGTTGTATACTGTCTAATTGGATTAAAGGACTGCTCACTGGAAGGCTAGTACTGTAAACCTAGCCAACTCCTAGTGGCTATAAAAGTCAAGGACTCTAGAAGACTAGAAGAGAATACTGCTTTCCCAAACTAGTATAATTTCTAACTATTCTTAAAACGTACCCTTACATCCACAGGCAAGTGCTGCTCTCAGACTCCCATCAGGGAAACTGCAACAGATGGAGACTACTCCTATTACAATTCCTATTTCAGGGTGTCTGCCCTGAATGATATAGCTAGAATGCAACCTCCAAAATTATGGCTCAGGGTGTCCCGCTACAGAGGAGGCCACAGGCCCCTGACATCTGCTGCCAAGATAGGACATGGAAGCTACACCCATCAAATTTCAACAGCTGGATCACCCAAACAAGACATGCTTAGTGAGAGTAACTAGATGACACAGCAATGCAGATGGGCAAAACACACAGGGCCTCATCCCTACATCAAGAGCTACAGGCAATTAATGGCTGTCAGGAGGGGAAAGAGATCATGTAGTTAGCCCTAAAAACATACATAAGAATACTAAAACATACAAACAATACTAGAAGGGCTCAGGAAGGGGCGTGTGTGTAAAACAATAATTGGCGAAAGATTTCATGAACCTGGGGGACATGGGAGGAGTTGGAGGAGTGAGGAAGGGTGAAAATGATATGAATACAGTATGCACATGGGAAATTCTCAAGAAAACAACAGAATACACACACCCAGGAGACAACAACTCAGGAGATGGGGATTTCCAGACAGGGTGTCTCTGTATTGCTTTGGAGCCTGTCCTGGAACTATCTCTTTTAGACCAGGCTGGCCTTGAACTCACAGCAATCCACCTGCTTCTGCCTACTGGGACTAAAGGCATGTGCCACCAACACCCTGTCAGAAGCATAATGTACTTACTGTTCTCTGATCAATAAAAACAAAAACTGTTAAGCACCCCCCGGGGGGGGGAACCTTTTGTGAGTTAAATCACTGAGAAATATGGTATTACCAGAAGCAAAGGTCACATCCAGTCTGAGTGCTAAGGACAGTGACTCTGAAGAACAGTGTTAGTATTTTACCCAGGAGTATGTCTATTCAGTGTGCACCTCAGACATAATTATCTAACACATACACTATCATCCATCTCCTGGCCTGTTTAAATTGACTTGTCTTTATCCTACCAAATCCCACTATGACACATGAAGCATTTTTCATTCTGTTAACATCTGATCCTCTGGGGCTATTTATCTGTCTCAAATACATTAAATATAGAACACTGTACCTTGGTTTAAAGGGAATTCAATACATTTTTGCTAATATTTAATTGTTATAAGAGCAGAAACTGGGTTTGGAGAGGGCTCTGTGGTTAAGAATAACTGTTGCTCTTGAAGAGGACCTGGGTTTGGTTCCTGGCACCCACATGGTGGCTCACAACTATCTGTGACTCCAGTTCCAGGGAATCTAATGCTCTCTTCTGACCTCCAAGGACATTAGGCACAAATGTGGTACATAGACGTATGTTGGAACATGGTCCATTAATGGAATTGTGTGAGAAACTGTTCTTGGGATATATTTTTGTGCCCATCCCAGGAGTAGCAGACAGGAGGGAGTTTACTTCAGATGATTCATCACAACCAGCTATTATTTGTTTCTGCTGCATGCAGCTTGCCCTTGTGATTGTGCACCTTACCTATGTGACTCTTCTTAACCTTCAACTATAAACTGTCTATACTTGGATTAAACCCAACTACTGCATAAGACTTAGGTTTGACCCCTTTATTGGTTCCATTCTTCCAGTTCCCATTCTCTTTAGACCAGTAAACAGACATATATGCTAGCATAACACTCAAACCCATAAAATAAACCCAAAAACAAAGTATTTTTCAATGACAGGTATGATAGCATTTTCCTTTAATCCCAGCACTCAGGAAGCAGAGGCAGGAGGATCTCTGTGAGTTTAAGGCCAGCCTGGTCTACAGAGTGAATTCAAGATCAGCCAGAGCTACATCATGAAATCTTACTCAACTTAGGAAGGAGGGAGGGAAGTCAGGAGGGAGGGAGGAAAGACGGGAGGGAGGGAGGGAGGGGAGAAGAAGGAAGGAAGGAAGGAAGGAAGGAAGGAAGGAACGAAGGAAGGAAGGGAAACTGGGTAGACCCAGACCTACAAGAAAATTCTCTTGAAATCTAAAAACCAATACTGTTACTACACACTTCAAGTGTGTACTTTGATAGTAAAAAGCATATTTTACTCATCATAAATCATAAAGTGGACTCATGGGGCTTAGGCAGAAGGACAGCCATGAGTTAAGAGGCCAGCCTAGGTTTCAATGAGACCCTGTCTTAACAAAACAAAAACAAATATCAGAAGTCTGTCCAATTGAGCCCAATTAATAAATGCTAAGAATTCAATTTTCATAATGGAAGGAACCACAAGCATCCTAATAGGCTCATAACTTAGAACAGGTCTACTAAAGAACTATTTGTTAAATGTCCTCATCAACTTCCAAATGTTCGAACCTAATCTACTAGAGAATGGGGAGAGGAGAGCTGAAAAGTGGCAGCAGAGGCGAGCTCAGGGACTGTACACGTATGTGTTCATGGAATCTATGTATGCTGCACCTTCCTACTTACTGCTGTACTTGGTAGCTGCAGTTTGCACTTGTGAAGCTCACAATCATCTGCAGTTTTTCAGTTGCATAGTTCACAAACTGTTGCTTAAATGCTCTTTCTTTAGCACGGGTGGTCCAGGTCAGCCTTTCATAAAGATACAAAGCTCCATACAAACTTAGGGACACAGAGATGAGTTTCCAGCCCAATGTTTTCCAGATCTGCAAGATAAAGTCACAGCTCACCGTGAGACAGAAACCCATTGGGGGGGGGGGGACACCTGACTTCTGATTCATCTTCTAAAAATGTGTATGCCTTCCTCATAAAGAAATCTGATAGGAAAAAAATATAAATATCAGGATGGATTTCACAGCTTGCCACAACTTGATATGCTGAATCAAGCTACTTCTTCCTCTTTATAAAGATTTTATTTTTATTTTTCATGTGTATGAGTATTCTGCCTGCATGCATGAATGTGTGCCAGGTGTGTGTGTAATGCCCGGAGGCCAGGGGATGGCATCAGAACCCCTAACTTTGAAATTACAAATGGTTGAGCTACCATAGGTGCTGGGAACGAAACAGGGGTTCTCTGGAAGTGTAGCACATCTTAACCATCTCTCCAGACCCAACTTGATATTATCCCCATCCCCAAAAAACCACAAGTAAAGTAAGTTATTTTAGGTTGAATGTTCAAACATTACAACAGCACATACATGCTGTAACAAACAAAAAAAACTAAACACAACTTACTAATAATCTTTAATACTTAAGACAGCTCCAATTGATATTCAGAGACAGTCAAACAGGACATTTTGTTTGGTGTCAAATCCAGCCCACAAAAGAAAGGTAACCTATTCACCAATTTGGATCATGACCCTATCTATCCCCACTTGTTCTTTCTTGTTATGCCAATATAAAAATAACACTTATTTGTGTGCTGTGGTGAGAAAATAGGCCATTTTATTATTAAAAGCCAGATAAGGCTAGGAATGAGTGGTATAGTGCCTACTTCACATGTGCAAGACTCTAGGCACTGCCCTAAGGAAAACAAAGAAACAGTAAACAGAAACCAAGTGAGTAGCTGGTAGGACTGCCATCCTAAAATTACAGGTAGGGGGGTAAGGGTATATATGTGTGTGGGGGGGTGCGGGAATGCATGTGAGTGTATTTAAAGTAAGTCACACCTGTAAAATTTTAGTCATTACTTTTCATTGTTGTAGTTTTTGAAGACAGGGTTTCTCTGTGTAGCTCTGGCTGTCCGGGAACTCACTCTGTAAATCAGGCGGGCCTTAAATTCATCTGCTTCTGCCTCTGCCTCCTGGATGCTAGGATTAAAGGCATGTGCCACCAACTGCCCAGGTCTTAGTCAGTACTTATAACCTACTAATTTTCAGATGCTTGATATTTCCTGAGAATATGTTGATAACTGTATTAAAAGTACTGTTTCTTACCACACCCCCAACAACAATGATGCCCATGGAGGTTCGAGAAGTGAGGGATGCCAATCCTGTGACCAAGGTGATCATAAGCTCTTCCTGGGCTGCATTATCCGATGCTGCTGGATTAGGAGGAGCAGTAGGAGTTGAAGCTAGAGATCTAGGGAGCTGATGAATTTAGGAGAAAAAACAAGTTACATAGTTATAAGGTTGTTTCTTTTCAAAAATTAAAGCAAATTATAGGGGGAAAGATTCCAAATAATGAGCAGAACACAAATACATTAAGAAAATACAGTAAATGTTCTTTTTTGGGGGTGGTATGGTGGTGGAGTGGTTGTGATTGCATCTGACATAATTGTGTAGGCTAACATGAAGCTCAAACTCAAAATCTTCCAGCCTCAGCTACCAGACTGCTGAGATTACCAATGAGTACCTTCACATGTGATGTGAACTAATGATCTAAAGAGCAATAAATTTAATAGTATATCAATAGAAATTAAAACTTTGTTGGGATTTTGTTTTGTTTTTCTAGACAGGGAAGGTTTCTCTGTATAGCATTGGAGCCTGTCCTGAAATTCATTCTGTAGACCAGGCCAGCCTCAAACTCAGGGTTCCATCTGCCTCTGCCTCCTGAGTGCTGGGATTAAAGGTGTGCACCACCACTTCCTAGCTAAAACTATTGCTTTTTAGATTAACTTTTCTGATTGTTAGCTGTGTGTGTGTGTGTGTGTGTGTGTGTGTGTGTGTGTGTGTATGCGCAGTGTACCCCAAGGATAGAGGTGTTGGATATCCTGGAAGTTATACCTAAATGTGGGTGCTGAGAACTGTGAAAAAGCAGTAAGCACTCTTAACAACTTAGCCAAATCTCCAGCTAATTCCATCTCCCAGAATTATGTTTTTTTTTAAAAGAGTTCCAAGATATAGCATAATAGTAAGACTGTGTGCTTAGCACATGCAATGCCCCAGCTCAAATTTCTAGCATTAAAAACACAACACATTAAATGAAAACAAGCAAAAAGAACCAGTTAAGTTAAACTTGAAAATTAACCCTGAGACCAGTGAGATGACTGAGTAGCTAACGTGCTTTTAGCCAAGCCTGACTGAGTTTGATCCTTAGAACCCACACAGTGGAGAGAGAACCAAGTTACCCTCTGACCGCCACATCATTGTATCTGATCCTCTCCAAGACACTCAATAACTCAATAAACTTTGATAAAGCATTCTGAAAATAAAAGCCATTCATTTCAGGGTGCTGATTCATACCTACATTTCTAGAATTCCAGAGTTTAGCAGGATGACTGCCATAGCAAAGCCACTCTGGCCTGCACAGGCCAACCTGGAAACTTTGTCAAAAAGCAAAACAAAACAAAAAACCTACCATCATAACAAAACCAATCTTTTGAATTTCAAAACACAAAGAATGAAGGATAAGCCACATATTTAAAAATATATATTAGGATATCACATATCTGTAAAGTAAATTTACATGTAGAAGCAGAAAGAATCCCTAAAACTTAAAAGTGACCAACTAGTACAAGTAAAACACCAATAAAAATATTGCTCAAAAGAGGATTATACCTGGCCAGTGGTAGCCCACGCTTTTAATCCCAGGACCTGGGAGGCAGAGGCAGGCGGATTTCAGGGTTCAAAGCCAGCCTGGGTTATAGAGTGAGTTACAGGACAGCCAGGGCTACACAGACAAACCCTGCCTCAACTCCCCCCAACAAAGAAAAACACAAAAGGCTTGTTTAATAGGCATATGGAAAGGTGTTCAAAATCAGTCATTAAGGAGATGTAAATCAAACCCACGATAAGGTATCAGATCACACTCATGAGGATAAGACAGATAATAACAAGTGTACAAAGTACACCTAGAAAACTAGAGCTTTCCTAGTGCTGGCTGGTAGGATGAAAACGATATGACCACTTTGGAAAATAATTTGGCAAATCTGCAGAAAAATAGACAGAAATGCCAGGTGTGATGCTCACCTGTAGTCCCAATGCTCAAAAGGCTGAGAGAGGAGGTTCATGAAGTCTGAGGTCAGCCAGGGCTACGAAGTAGGACCTTGTCTAAATACCTAAAATAGCAGGGCATGGTGGCACACACCTGTACTTCCAGAACTTGGAAGGCAAAGGCAAGAAGGTGATACATTCAGGGTCATTCCCCACCCATCCAGACATACTGGCCAAACAGAATGGGGGGAAGAAGGGAGGAAAGGAAGGGGAGGGAGTGAGGGAGCAAGAAAGGGAAGGAGGAGGAAGAAAGGAAAAGAGAACTCTAATAAAAGCTCCCCTCAAGTTACTATATGGCCTACCATTTCCTCCTGAAGTACACATCGACATGAGGGCACACGCGCACAGAATTTTCAGAATAAGTAACTATTAAGCACTATTCACAATAGCTGTTATAAGACCAAAACTGATGTCCAACAGCAAGGAATATATTAAGAAAATGTAGTTTTTGTAAGTTCGAGGGCAGCCTGGTCTACAAAGTGAGTTCCAGGACAGCCTCCAAAGCAATAGAGAAGCAAAACAAAGAGAAAAAAAGAAAAAGAAAAAAAAAGAGAAAAAAATGTAGTTTTATATGTAGGCCACATATAAGAAGCCTTTATTGAAGATTTGATGTTCCATCTCAAGAACATTTAAAGTTTCTAATAAAGGATTACACCCCACAAAAATAAAGAGGAAATGTAGTTTATACATGCAATGGAATTCTTTAATCATAAAGAATGATGTTAGGTTGTCAATTGCAGGAAAATGGTAAAACTAGAGAGAACTGCATTACATGAATAAACCATATGAAAAAGACAAGTACTGGGTGCCTTTTCTCATTTGTTGGCCCTGGACACGACAGGTACATGCATCATGTGTATCCTGGGGATATGCAAGGAGAAGAATTGTTAGGAACAAAGGGAACTAAATAATTGGAGGGGCAGAATGTGAGAACAGAGTGGTCAGTAGAGTACTGGGGGAGGCAAATAGGAGGCCCTGGAACCTTTGAATGAAACATACACACGTAAACAAATAACTAAACAGAAAAGTTTCAAAACTGAATGCATAACCATTTACAGCATTCATAGTATTAATCGGCAAACAAAACCCGACTCAGAAGATAGACATGAGCTCATAAATAGGCAGGTTTGAGTAAGCCAGTTTATTAGAAAAATCTGCATGAGCAGTGTAAGAGTGCCAACGATTAAGACACATACCTGAAAGACCGGCTCGGAGAGCCCAAGCAGCACTCTCTGTGCATTTGAGGAGCCCAGAAATCGATGCACAAGGGAAGACCAGCCCAGGGAAAATCTAAACACAATGTCCTCTTGAAAATCAGAACACAACTTGTGGCAATTTAGATCATAGCTGAGATCAAACTTTTTGCAAGGGATTAGTGTATGAAGTTGAGTCTGTATACCAGCTGGGAGTAATGGCTTCAAGTTTTCTGGAAAAAAGATTACATTTATTTTAACAAACACAGCACATATGTATTTTTGTTTGTCTGTTTGTTTTTTTTACCTTCCAGGCAATGTAACTAAATGAAAACAGCCTTTTATGAAAAAGTGGGGAGAAAGGCAGAGGGAGGGGAAAGAGGGATGGAGGGAGGGAAAGCAGGTTACATATGGCCCCATAGACATGAATGTTACCAATAATTTCTTGTTGAGACTGAAGCATGGAGGCATTGACTTCATTGGTGCACCGGTCAGCCAGATTTCTTCCCATACCATCTTCTATGTGCTTATTTAATTCCTGTCAATAGTGATTGTAAATGTCCATGTTAATTCTTTCATTACAAAGTAGGTAATATTATACAGACTATTGAAATGCTCTTATTTTGGGTGGGTACTGGCAATTGAACCTAGAGTTTCACAGTTGCTAAGCACATGCTTGACCACTGCACTCTCTGAAGTTTTACATGTGAGTCAGTTTGTATTTATTACAAGAGCATGGGAGCTCTCATCATCTGTACAGTGTCTGACAAGAATGCAGTGGAATGGTAGAGCCACTAAACATATGAATAGAGTATAGAGCAGGAAAGCAGCCTCAGAACAAATGGTTCAACAACTTGAACTTACACTCTTATACACTTTCAGTACACTGGGGGTAGGATGAAACTCAGAACAAAACTCATCAACCAAAACAGACAGTCGACAAATTTCATCTGTCATTGCACAAGAAACCTGAAAACATTAAAAAAAAAAAAAAAAAAAAACTCAGAGTTAAAAATTAAAGTAATTCATAGCCAGCCAGGGCTGCAAAACAAGACATCCCTTAAATAAACAAACAAGAAAAACTAAAATAGATTACCAACTGCTCAGAATATCAAATGGAGGAACATATATTCATTTACGGTGAGAAGCAGACAGCATTTAATACTAACACATACAGCTGCTTCCAAAAACTGTGACCAGAGCTGCTGTTACCTTATTTGCCACCTCCTCCGTGACTTCCTTGATTTTCTTCTTAACATCCAATGTTAAGAGGTTCATCTGGTTTCGAATAAAGTCCAGTCTATCAATCTGGTCTTCCCTCTCTTCCATTGAATAAACCCTATTTTATTATGAAGAGTGATCAATATTTGGGGCATGTTAAAAGTCCTAAGGTAATTAATTAATTAGGCAAGGCCATACATTTAAATATCTGGAACCATTAATTAACATGACACAAGAAAAATATCTTGTATTCAAAAGTCTGAAAGGACTACAATTGCATTTCACTTGGCAAGTCCTTCATTGTAGCTGGCTTAATATAAATGACCTTTACTCTCCCAAGTTAGCTGCATCCTAAAAAAAAAAAAACAGTAAGGAGTCTAAGTCTCCACATGAGCAATTAAACAAGAACTCAACAGCGATTCAGTTAATAAACAAGAGAAACAAACAGTACAGTGTGAGGCCAAAAGCTCCTTCTGTTATCAAGGCACTTTATAAATGAGTAAGCATACAAGAGACAGTGTGGCCCATAAAGCCCTAATATTCACTGTTGGATTCCCTGCAGAAGGGGCCCCTGGATGACAGGAAAACTAGGACTTAAGAGCTTTTAAAGAAAATCAGCAGCATCAATTTCTAGGACACTGTCCTCAAATCACATTTTTGTGCCATTGTTTGGTTCAATGTAATGTTTTAAAAGAGGGAAGTCGATTAGACTATATTTATTTATTATCTGGAGTGCATCACAGGGAGCAGTCAAGCTGGAGTGGGCTTCAGCAGCAACACATTCAGCACACAGACTGTGCAGAGACACTGCCAGGGCTGAGACTGGCTCAGGTGTACCACCTTGGCTGCCACCATTTATAAGTGTTGCTGAATAAACATCACACCCAAGAAACAGGCAGAGATATTACAGACTGGGGTGGGGTCTTCTTAGTAAAAATACCTAATTTCAAAACTTCAGTTTTAAGGGCTGGGGCAGAAGCCAGTGACAGAGGGCTTGTAAACAAGCCCCTGACCTTCAGTTTTAGCCAGACTTAATGGACGAAGCTTGTAATCCCTGTGTTTGGGAGGGTGAGGCATGAGGAGTGCCATGAGTTTTAGACTAGACCATCTCCATTTTTACTTCACCTTTGATGCTTTCTACACTTCCTTGAACCAAGTTAAGCTTGCTAAGGTTCATTAGGCCTTGATATCATTATATTTATCATACCCAACAACACTTAGCTCTTTGTTCCCAAGTGTGTCAAGTTTTATACTCCCCCCCCCAAAGACATGTAGCCTAAGATGGCCTCATCCCAAGCTCTTCCCACTTCAGTCTCCCCAGGGCTGGGATTACAGATATGTGCCACATCTGGAGAAGCTGTACTGCTTCAGTAACTTCACATGCTATTTCAAGTTTACATAAGAAGGGCTGTGAAATAAGTGTAAACAGCATCACCTGGTTTGAAATTCTTCATATGATTCTGCTTGAAGATCCATCTTCCTCTCCCATGAAGCTACTCAACATTTTAAAGTCACAATTCATACTCAGCCACCCAGGGAAGGTCACAAAATTAATAAATCATCTTCAAATATTCATTTAAAAAATACAAACATAACACACACACACAAGGAGGCACCAGTAAAATCATAAAACTGGTCTTAGTACCATTTGAAACCTCAGCCCTAAAGATCTGATACAATGAAAGTAACATTTGGGCCATAATAAAGGGTGCCTACCTCTTCTCTGCTGCCGCCACGTTTACTGAGTCCAGTATGTTTTTCACAGTGTCTAGTATCTGTTTAGCTCTGATAGTGTGCTGTTCAAACTTTGTTTTCACTGCTGACTGCGAGATACACTCCTGCGAGGGGCCCAAGCCATAACACATTACTGCAATTCCATCCAAACACTTTCAGGAATTCAAACACAAAAACTTGCTGAGTGTAACTTAAGCCAAAGCCAAAAGAAAAGATGGGACTAAAGGAAATGGCATGATGAAACACAACTTAAAACTACAAAAATTTAAAAAGTAAGCAAACTGAAGGAATAAATCAAAAGTAACAGCAAGTTTATATTTTTGTGTATCCTCTCACAGTAATGTGCAGTGGGCTGACTACAGAATAATTACAACAACAAAAAAAGAAACTAACAAATGGCACTCTTCTCAGGGTCACAGATGGTCCCAGGAGAACTACCTACCTGACTTCATCCATTTACCTTGTCTTAACTATGTTTGTAATATATAACCAAATAAAGTCTGAGTTAGAATTCTTCCTGGTATTGTTTTTAGAATTCTTATTTTAAGATGACTTATATAACATGAGGATTAGCCTATGAGCAGTTAAAATCATCATTAACCATGTAAATATTTTTAAATATATATAGAAAACCACTTGCAGCTATCTCAAAGACCATGAGGCTGTAGCACAGTGTCAGGTCTGGAGGACACTCAGCTTGACTATCTCCCCTTCAAGGCAGCTGTAGCTTAAATCTGCTAGCGTCTCCTAACAAGCCAACCCCTCCCTTCTCGTCCCCCCCTTCTGAGAGAGAGAGAGAGAGAGAGAGAGAGAGAGAGAGAGAGAGAGAGAGAGAGAGAGAGAGAGAGAGAGATTGAAGTAGGTTTCACTCTCTAACTGATGCTGGCTTCCAAATCAGAACAATCCTCCGGTCTCAGTTTTCCCAAGTGCTATGATTAGGTATTAATCACTATTTTTGATTCTTTGTGTTTGTTTTTAGATACAGAGTTTTAAACACTACCCAGGCTCTAGGAACTCTATAACTCAGGCTGGCCCTAACATGGCAGGCACATGCTACTACATTCAACAGTGTGCTTTGTTTTTCTTAACCAGCATATGTTAGAATGTATCACTTATATTGATAGACATATTTGATGAGTAAAATTTTGTTTCAATTTAACATGTGTAATAAATGTCATACATTTTAAAATGACTTATCATCAAAAGTTAACAACTGACCTCATATAATTTTTACTTCCAAGAAAGTAAAATTTTACTCAAAGCACCTAGTAAAAAAAAAGTCTACGTGGTCTTTGAACAATGCAAGACATGGCATCAGCTGTCAGTAAGCAGAAAATGATTACAGGAAATGTTCTGCCTTTCTATTTCTATTTGGGCCATACAATCCTCCTGTGCTGCTATGAATCCATCACTCTTAAGTGTGTGTGTGTGTGTGTGTGTATGTGTGTACATACGTACATACATACCACACACAAACCAAATTGGAGTAATGACTTCCTGAAGCTTGCTAGTGTTCTGTCATATAGGCAGCTTCCAAGCTTCAATACTCTAGTTGTGTGTTAATACTGGATGTCTGTATGTCCTATGTTCACTGAACGTGCTACTCACAACTTTGTAAGTTTGTCTCTGGAGATTACCTGTGCATTTCACTCAGGAAAAGTCCAACCTTTTGCTGTGTAGCTCTTTCTTCAATATTTTTTTGGAGGTATGGGGGAAATTCCTCTTTTAGGCAGAGGACATGGGGCAATCATTTAGTCAGCACTTGTAAGGACAGTCCACTCCTTCCCCCCATATCAGCTAGCTGTACTTGTTCTCATGATGCACAATCACTCTTCCTAAACTTCTACTACCAACAAGTTTTCAATTCTTGTTCTCTAAGTCTGAAGCAGAGAACCTGAGACCTCCTCTACTAGAACCTACAGTAACTATTACCCAGCTCTGAGCAACTGGCTTATCAGCTACTGATTTTTAAATGATCCCACTCAGCTGTGACTTTATTTTAGTAACTGCCTTACAGATGTGCCAAATCAATCTCCACAAAATTATAACACACGTATAAAAATAATTTTAAGAGAAAAAAAAGTGAAAAGAAATGTTCCTCGATGAAGTCGATCTAGATGTCAGTAATGAAGACCCAGCGCACAGAAGACAGCACAGTGTTAGAGCTGCACTAGACAGAGTGAAGAGGACTCCAGGCTGCCAGGCACTCGAGGCACTGACTCAACATGAGACAGTGAGCAAACACAAAGAAGAGAAGCTTTCCACCAAGGGGATCCCCACTGGGGTTCCAGTCATCTGCAGGCTCTGAAGGAGCACCCCCAGAAAGTCTTTACATACTCCTCAACAAACCCATGTTTGCTTTCCCAAGGGAGCACACAAGTGCATACTTTGCAGAGTTACACTGTCAGCAACTCTGTAACTTTGAAGAGGTGAAAAAACAGACCAAACTGCTACCAATTCCATCTTGTCAGAACAGCCTATAGACTTGCAAATTTAAAAACTGAGAACCAAAATGAAAAGCAGAGTTTTCTGATTTCTTATTAAGAGCTAAAGAAGTCAGCTCATTAATAATATATAATTACAAACCCCCCAAGAATGCTATCTCAGTATGTTTTAAACTGAAAGTGAAAGACAGGATGAACTTATCTTTCCTAGATGTACCATTCTTAGAGATGTGCACATTATGTTTATACATACATGCACACATGCAGTCATATGTTGTTTATACTCTAACAAATAAAGCTTGCCTGAAGATCAGATGGCAGCTAGCTAACAACCATAGGAGTCTGATGGTCTATACAGACAGACAGGAAGTGACATGGCTGGACGGAGAGAGGAAGTGATAAGGCAGCAGGAGACAGGAGCTCAGTCTCTTTTCAGTTGGGAAGTTAGGTAGGTAAGGTAGCTATGGATTTGCTCCTTTGTCTCTCTGATCTCTTAGCATTTCCTGGCTTTTATCATTAAGATCTATTAGGACTAGTGTTGCACACACATTGTTTAAACAAACAGTCTCACTGAACTGTCCAGGATGGCCCTGAAATCATCCTCAGCCTCCCAAGGACCTCAGACTGCAGCCATGTACCCAGCTTTCTTCCTGTACCTTAAATGTCAAACCTGTATGATGTCACTACCAATACCAGGCTTGGCAGTCATACCTGTAGTCTCCAGGACTTGGAAGGCTATGGTGGGAGGACCACAGAGACCCAAGCATTCAAGGCCAGCTTAACATTAAGACCTTGACTCAAAACAAGACACATCAATACTTGTCTTTTTAAAAAGGAGACATTCAAGGACAGCATGGTCTACATAACAAGTTCTAGGCCAGCCAGGGTTTTACACGGGAAACCCTGTCTTGAAAGAAAGGGGGTGGTGGCATTTTCCTAAATAATTACAAATCAATTTTATTTACAATATTTACCACTAGGACAGCACTACTACCTAACATAGCCCAAATTCAAAGTTACTCAGCATTGCATGCTCTTTAACCCATGCACAAGCACTTCTTCCCTCATACACCAACACTATAAAGAATAGGTAAAGGTGAAACACCTGTGCAAAGAAATCCTGCAGTAAGACCATGCAGGTGCAAGTTTAAAAGTAAAACTTTCACTCCAGTTGGTGCTCAAGGCTTGTTTAACTCAGTGTCTGTAGATTAAAAATACTTAGCTACTGCATAAAATGAATCCCATGGCAAAGATAAACTGATTATGATGATGATTTGGGAATGGGAAGATAGTTCAGTAGTTAAGAGCAATTTGATTCCCAGTACCCATGACAGATGATTCACACCACCCTCCAGCTCCAGGGAGACCCCACACCTCTGGCCTCTTTGGACAATGTACTAGCACACCCACTCACCACCAATTAAAAACAAATCTTTAGAAAAACATTAAAAAATGATTTTGATAAAGGCTTTATCTACAATAATCAAAAGCCCACAAAGAAAAAATAAATTAATCTCAATCTAAAGAGAAAATGCACATAAAAGCCATAGAGTTCACACACACGCATACACACACACCAATTTAACAATTCCTCTATCAATAAGGAAACTTAAAAACTAATTTAGGCTGGGTGGTGGTGGTGCACACCTTTATCCCAACACTCGGGAGGCAGGAGCATCTAGCAAGATGGCTTAGCAGGTAAAAGAGCTTGACAGAGAAGCCTGACAACCCAAGTCCATTTCTGTGGACCCTTGTGGAAAAGAAAAACCAATTCTGTAAAGTTGTCCACTGACTGACAGATAAATCAGCACTCCCAGATACCCATCACACACATTGCGAGCATGTGAGAGAATACTAATTAATAATTTTTTTTAAAAAAGGCATGGGGTTGGAGCGCAATAGAAGAACCATTGCCCAGCACAGCACTACAAGCTGTGTGTATGTGTATATGCACATGTACAAATATAAGGATATTCCTTAAGTGATATTTCATACTGTAATTGGGAGCTTTGAAAATACACACATTCCTAGGCTAACCTTAGCTAACTGGAACATCATGTCTGGGAAGATCAGGTACCTGTGTCCAATGGCATCTCAATGTTTTTTCTTCCTCTTCTTCTTTGGCACAACACTCTTTGTAGAAATAAAAAACAGTCCTCATTTTGATTGTGTGTGTGTGTGTGTGTGTGTGTGTCTGTCTGTCTGTCTCTGTATTTCTGGTAGTCCTGGTACTCAGTATATAGATCAGGCTAGCCTTGAACTACCTGCCTCTGCCTCCTGAGTGCTGGGAATAAAGGTGTGCCCCACCACTATCCGGCCACCATCATCTATCCCAACAGTAATTACTGTTTGTCCTTGTTCTATACATATGAACACAAGAAATAACCATTCACTGTACAACATAAACAATACTAGACCACTTTTCCATTTATAAACACATAAACAAAATACATCTTTCTCAATTCTTACAAGTCATCCTTTCTGCAGGGCCTTCATTTCTTCAAGCCTTTCTTGTTTCAACTGCTGTTGTCAGGACTACACTTAATAACAGCAGAGGTTATTGACAAAGATAGACAGTGAAGATTACAGTCACTCTCTGATCAGTGCCATGTGTATATAAGCCAGTAGTAATTAAATTCCTACCTCAAAAGTTTGTTCAAAATTCTGAAACTCTTGTAATCTTGCCTGAAATCCTTCCGCAAGTGCCCCACCTGTAATGCAGATAAAAGGTTTGATTGTATTTTTTGTTTTACTTGTGTGACACATCATCTTGTTAAGCAGCGGCGCTACATTAAACTCGTGGCAGCCCTCCTTTTTCTGCTTCCGAAGATCTTAGGCTGCATTTGGGAGCCTTCATGCTTTACTTGGGCAAATATTTTAAAATCTACTAATAACAATCTCCCCTTACTCATAACACATGTTCCAAGACTCCTCATGGCTGCTGTAAACTCCAGAATATGAAACTCTCTATTATACTACATGTGTTAGTTTGCTTTCTATTGCCATGATGGTTGCTTCCTATTGCTGTGTTAAAGCACCATCATCAAAAATAACTTGGAGTAAACTTAGCTTATTTGTTCCCATCACCGTTCATCGTGAAGTCAAGTCAGGGAAGGAACTCAAGGCAGTAGATGCCAAAGAAGAATGCTGCTGACTGGCTTGCTCAACTGGCTTTCTTAGAGAACCCAGGACCACTGCCTGAGGTGGCCCTGCCCACAGTGCACTGGCCCTCTCTGTCACTAATCAAGAAAATGCACCAAAACACGAGCACAGGCCAATCTGATAGAGATATTGTTTCAATTGAAGTTTCCTCTTACCAAATGATCCTAGCATCTGTCAAATTGACAGAAACCTAACCAGGAAACTATGTTTTATCGTCTACACACACGCAGTTTATGCCCTTTTAATCATAAGTAAGCATTTAGTATGCACTGAAACCCTATCTTTTGAAGTTAGAGATATGATAGTATATTAGCATAAATTTCTTTTTCCATTTTCACAATTTCACAGATTTTCTCTTACTGTAGAATCATAATAAACTTTATTAAATAATCAAGCATTTCAGCTTTTCACCTAAAGGAAGCATTTTGTGACTTCTAGTAGGTGTGACTAAATTGCCTGCATAGCAGGCTCATTCCATTTGGGCCATCCTTCAATATAATAAGGGTTCTACAGCACATCCATGCAGTAACATACCTGCTCATAAGTTGGATGGGTACTGTTTGGAATATACTGACCAAAAGGAAGCCTACTGTTGTCTGGGATGGTAAGAGAGCTCACCACAGTACTCTTGACAATGTGATTTAACATTTACCATATATTACTGTACCACAGGTAAGCACAGGTTACTGAAGACACAGATAGCAAGGAACAAGGTATTTCCAGCATGCTACTATTTAGCTATAATTACATTTGCATTTAAGAAGGAAACTGTAATTACTACATACCACCTTCTGGCATCCCCTGGGCTTTATGCTTTCGGGAGTTGAGAACTTCCTTGGCTGAAACAAAAAAGATCCGATTCCGAGCTTCCAAAGGACTCACAACTTTGAGTTCTTCTACCAAGAAGTGAAGGCATCTTTCCATGTGCTGTCTCCGCACCTGCAAGTAGCACAGGAATTTTAACAATTTAAATAAAATAGAAATAATAATAACAACCTCCAACCATAGGCCTATACTACACTTCAAATGCAGTAACTGTGGTGCTTTCAATTAGAATGCCTGACACAGGCATGGAGATTTCAGTGCTTAGTACTCAGCTGCTGACACTGTTGGGAAAGCTTAGGAGGTTTGGCCTTGCAGACAAAGTGTCAAAGGGGTGGGCTTTGAGAACTTAAGGACACACCCCACTCACAGTTTGTTCTCTCTGCTTCATGCCTGCAGTTCAAGACCTGAACCCTCAGCTTCTGCTCCAGCCACAAAGAGTGCAGCTTGCCTCCCTGCCATGATAAGCCAGAAGCTCCAATAAACTTTCTTCTATAAGCTGTCATGGTTATACTTGTGATTCATATTATACCTATGTTCCTGTGTTCCTATATACCTATAATAATATACCTAATAAATGCAGGAAATGTCAATAAATCAAGTCTGATCCTTGATGGCAGGAAATCTCTACTTAATAATCTTCCTTTTGAATTGAACATCAATTACTCTCCAAACATTATAAAACATCACAAACAAGTATTAACTGCATGGGGAAGTGTAATCAAGTCTATATCAAGGGTATAATAAAAATGTGTATTAATAATAGTGGATAGACATGCAACACCCAAGAAAATGGGTAACATTTTTAGTTTTTACTTATGCTTATTTTCCAAACTGTCTTCTTTGGGGCTGTTAATACCTTTGAAATCTGAAAATAAGAACATAAAATAAAGCTATTGCCTTTATTTTTAAATAAAAACATAATATTATTAAGAACATGGAAACTGAGACTTAGAGAAAGGTTTAACATTTCTCTTTCAAAAGGTCGTAGTTCCAATCTCAACAACCATATCAGGTAGTTCACAACCTCTAGGAACTCTAGCTACAGGGGATCCAATGCTCTCTTCTGGCCTCTGTGGGCACTCATATCCAAGTACACATACCCCACCCAGATATATGTACATAAATATATAGAAAAAGAGCCAGGTGTATTGTCAAAAGCTTGTAGCCTCAGCACTTGGGAGACAGAGGTAAGAAAAGTTCAAGGTGTGTCTTGGGCTACACAGTGAGCTCAGAGACAGCCTGAGATATAAAAACCATGATAGAGGGGGAAAGATCAGGTTTAAGATACAACTGGTGAGTGGTAGAGTACTGCTGTGGGATAATCTTTTGATACACTGTAAAGATGTGTCTCTGCCTAAGGTGCCTTTTGATTTATTAATAGAGCTGAATGGCCAATACCTACACAGGAGAAGATAGAGTTTCTGGGGAGAGAGAGGAACTCTGGGGAAAGGCAGAGACATCAGCGAGAGACTGAAATTGGACATATAGTACAGAGGCGAGGTAACTGAGCCACATAGTGGAACATAGATTAATAAGAAGACGTTAATTTAAGTTATAAGATCTAGTTGGGGAAAAGCCTAAAACCAAGCTTCCATAATTAATAAGTCTCCCTGTCATTATTTGAGAGCTGGCAGCCCAAACAAATGTCCAATATATAGAGAGTACTTATTTTGTATGCACAAAGCCCCAAGTTCAATCAGCAAAAAAACAGCAAACAAACAAAACCCAATAAATCTTAAAAAAAAAAAATGAAAGCTGGGCAGTGGTGCAGCAGGGGCAGGCAGATCTCTGAGTTCAAGGCCAGTCTGGTCTATAGAGTGGGTTCCAAAACAGCAAGGATTAGACAGAGAAACGACGACTCAGGGAAAATAAAGTAAAACAAAACAAACAAATTTCAAAAAGAACAACTGGGGCTGGGATATAGTTCAGTTCATAGAATGCTTGCCTGGCAGACATGAAACCCTGGGCTCAATTCCCTGCACCATTAATAAAGTGGGTATGCCAGTGGTACTTGCAAATAATCACAGCATTCAGGAGCATATGGAAAATGACACCTGAGAGTTCAAGGCCATCGTGGGCTACAGGGGTACACTGTCTCACAACAAAAATAAAACTAAGCTAAAGAAAAATGCTGAAGTAGTGAAACTACTCTGTGAGGATGACCTAATTCTGCAATTCCTAAGGAGTAATGGAAACTGTTTCATCTTTATAAACCACACAACTAAAATCAGAAACAAAGAAAAGAAATAAATGCTATTTATATGCTGTGATGGCTCATATTGATTGGACAGAAGAACCTAGGAGATTAGTGTCCACATCTCTGGGTGTGTCTGTGAGGGTGTTTCTAAGGAAAAGTGCAAGTCAGCAAGGACAGGCCTACACATCTTCTCACCCTTTCTGTTCTGAGCCACCTTGTAGTAAGCTGCTTTCTGAGATTCACACACCACAGACTGGAGCCTTTAAAACCATTAGTCTTAACTATGTTGCTATAACAACAAAAATTGACCTGATCAACACATACATCAAATGCCTTTGCATGTTGCTTTGTTTTTTGAGACAGAATCTTACTATACAGCCCTGGCTAGCCTGGAACTCACTTTTTTGACCATGCTGGCCTCAAACTCAAGAGATCTACCTGCCTGTCTAGAACAGTGGTTCTCCAACTGTGGGTGACCATTCCTTTGGGGTCATATATCAGATATCCTACATATCAGGTATTTACATTTACATTAACATTCATGACAATAGCAATGAAATAATTTTATGATGGGAGGAGGTCACCATAACATAAGAGTTGTAGCATTAAGAAAGTTGAGAACCACTGCTCTAGAGTGTTAGGATCAAAAGACATGCGCCACCACACCCAGCTCTTAAATGCCAGATTCTTTTTAAAGTGAGTGGAGGATACAGCTCAGTTGGTAGAGTGCCTCCCCTAGCTTTGGAGGTCAGGTATGCTCAGTTGTTTTACCTGCATTCTAAGGCAGCTATGTGAAATTTGTGAAAATCTACTGAGTGAAAATTTACTAATGATTCAGGTAGGCATTTTTCTGATACACATTTCAATCTTTAATAAAGTTAAACATAGGGCTAGAGAGATAACTAAGTGGCTGAGACTACATCGGCTCTTCCAGAAAACCCAAGCAGACACATGGCAGCTCACAACTGTCTGTAACTCCAGTTACAGGAAATTCTCCAAGGCACTATTCTAGTCTCCTCTGGCATGGAAGTGGTACATAAACATAAGTGCATAGACATACATGCAGGCAAAACGTGCATAGGGGAAAAAGTGAAACACAAAAAGAAGATTCAAGTTTTGAAAGAAACATAGCTTAGTGTATCAGATACCTATCACAAGCCCCTACAGGTTTTCTAGAAATATATATATATATATATATATATATTTATTTATTTATTTTGGTAATCTTTTCAGACAAAGTGTAGTATGGTTCAGACTGGCCTCAAACTTACTGCACAGCTCACATTGTTTCTGAACTCCTGATCCTTCTTTCTGACTCCACCTCCCAAATCTGGGATTTAAGTATCATGAGGCCCAGCTATATTCATACTATTTTCACAATCACAGAATAATTTCTCATGATGTCCTCTGAGGTCTATTGTTTCCTCAGATAATGATATACACAACTAAAGTTCAAAGGTTTGGGGGGGGGTGGGGGGAGTGAGGGCACTTACATCCTCCATATATTCTGGCTCTGAGGCAGAAGCATCCCAGCGATTATTCAGAATGAAAATGTTTGGCTTGGAGAGCCGCTCATTCACCTTGTGAAAAAAATGTTTCTCCTGAAAAATGTCAAGAACAACACTTTAAAAGATAAGCATTTTCTCTTTACACTTAGAGTTGAAACCCTTTATGTTAAAAGTCTGAATTATTTAAATCAGAGTGAATAGCATCCACTAAGACCTCTATAAGAAGTCACCATGGCATTGTAAATCAAAACAAGCCCAAAGGCAAGGGTTCCTGCTCTTACCAGGTCTCTCTTGAAAGTCAACTAACACTTATCAATCTGTATATATATGACAGAAAGTGACTGACTGATAACCCAGATGTTAAAAGTCGCTTCAAATCATTTTTCAGAGTTAGCTAAGCTGCTGGTTATAGTAGGGGTACATCTTCCATCCAAGACAGAGACAAGCAATTCTCTGTGAGTTCCAGGCCAGCCTGCTCTACACAGTTAGCTCCAGGCAAGCCAGAACTACATAGTGAGACACTGCCTCAAAAATAAGTAAATAAATAAATAGATTTAGCTAAGTAAACTAGCATACTTTATTAACTCTAATACCAGCAAATACTACATAAACTGCTTCTTGGCCTTCTGGCTAAGTTCAAGTGAAGACCATTATATAAACACTGTAAAGTAAGTGTAAATGTCTGTTCACAGCAAGGAGATGCCATAGCTAGTTGAAAATAGGAACAGCTAATAGGAATGGGAACTAATAATAGGCTTAGACATACTGCCAACAGGGTCTCACACAGTTCAGGCTGGTCCTAAACTCATTATATATTGAAGATGACCTTAAATATCTGATTCTCCTGCTCTATATACAAATGTTGAGATTACAGACGTGACTACAGCCAGTTTAACTGGTATTTCTAAAAAAGGAAAAGTTCAGAAGCGGACAAACTGTTAAGTCAAAAGCAGCATCAACAGGACTGGGGGTATGGCTCAGAGACAGGGCTTGCCTAATATATGCACAGCCCTGAGTCTCATTGCTAGCATCGAAAAACAAATGAGTATAGCCTAAACACAGGCACCAAAGTCAAGACTGAGGCTGAGAAATCTGCTCATCGGTGGGGAGTAGAGGAAGCCCTGAAGAATGAAGTCCTCAGTGAATGTATACTGTTCAACATGGGCCTCGGACACACAGGAAAAAGGAAAAGACTCGTCCAAGGTAGGCTCAGGAAAATGGCAAAGCCTTCCTATAGTCCACACTAGGATGCTGATAGTGTGTGCAGAAATGTCCACACTAGCTTTCTTCCTCCAGATATTTACAACCTAAAGATTGCTCCCCTACAAAGACTGCTCCTACTAAACCTGTCTCTTGTTCAGCTTTATATGATAACCCTGCTCCCTTATCCATCTATAATATCCCAATATCCTTGTTCATCTGTATGCAGTAACTCTGCCTCTCTGCTGCACACATGTAATAAACACACTAAAAAGCACCCAGCCTCCTAATCCCACTTCCCTGTTTCCATCTGTTTGTCCTTTCTTTATTACTTTGTCATACCTAGTCAGGTCCATGCCTAGAAGCTATTGCAAGGACTTGGCACTTAGCCAACACCAAATGATGATGGTCCTCTACAACATCTCAAACACTTGGGAAGTTTCTTACAGAATGATGTTATCAGCCATCCAGTACTACAACAGAAGCCTGGTGCTTGTGATAGTTAAATCTTACTAGTGACAATGGTACTTAGTCACTCATATGCTTCTTGTGAATAACCTTTTTAATAGCATGTTACTGTTCTGTATAGTAGATATCTAAACTTTTAAAGTTTATTTGGACTGAATCTGGTCATTCAGGATAAAGAACCTACCAACCCAGGGTATATACAGATGAGTTTGAACCTACATCGAGCTGGGAAAGGATGAGAACTGCAGAGAAAAAGCTTTGCCTAATGCATGACAGGGAAGCAAGAGAAGGGATGGTTTGGATTTTATATAAGTGGACATCTCAACAACCTTTGCACCCATGCTCTTCCAGGCTGATACACACTGGGTGAGTGTCAGTCTCATATTCACATCACCTTAAACCCACACTTACTAGAAGCTAAAATCACTGGCAAGCCCTGGACTGCTACTGAAACCAGGTAACACTACCGCAAACCAGAAACAGCCCTCTGATCCTAGGAACACAGGCTGACTTCAGTTACTTTCTAGCTCATCACCAGTACTTCCCTCACTTTTCAGAACTAAAGTGGATGGATGCCACTCAAGCACTGTAGTAAGAATAAATCCTACCGTATTCATCAGTGTTGATTCAGAGTTTGCAACCAAAACAAAGACATCAGCATCAAGGCAGAACTTATCAATCCAGGTATCAAGCTCTGTGGTAACATCTGTACCTGGGCTAAAGGGAAGGAAGCAAATACTGTGTCACAGGACATTTGTTAAAAACCAAAATCTGGCCAGGTGGTGGTGGCACATGCCTTCAATCCCAGTGCTTGGGAGGCAGAGGTAGGCAGATCTCAATGAGTTCCAGGCCAGGCCAGTCTACAAAGCAAGTTCCAGGACAGCCAAGACTGTTAAACACTATCTCAAAAAAAAAAAAAAAAAAAAAAACAAAAAACAAAAAACAAAAACAAGCAAACAAATAAACAAAAAATAAATCACAGATTTAAAAAACAAAACAAAATTTTCTATCATCTGAAATCCAAAAGGCAGGAATTCTCTTAGCCATCAATCAGATGCCAAGAAATTTTTAAACCAATGTTTTTGACAAAACAAGCAACATAATATTTCAATCTTTCAAATTTTTATGCTGCAAAAGCTGGAAAAGAAGTACCAATAGTAAAATAGACTAAGCTAATAGCACTCAATTCTTACAAACAGATATACCCAGTAATATATAGAGATAAAAATGCTTAGAAGCAATCTACCACCACCACCACCCACACACACAAACCCTCTGGGGCCAGGCACGGTGGCACACAACTTAATCCCAGCAATCAGACAGCAAAGGCAGGTGGATCTCTGTAAATTCAAAGCCAGCCTGACTACAAAGTGAGTTCCAGGTCAAACAGAGCTACATAGAGATCCTGTGTCAAAAAAAAAAAAAAAAAAAGTGGGGGGGAGAGGGAGAGAATCAAACTGAATGATTCCCATAGATCATCAAATGGTTAACTAAAGAAACAAAACATAACGAAAATGCTTGAAGCCTTTGATTATAGGAAAGAAAAATATTCAACTGATGGGCACTACTTCATTAAGCGCTAGTAAGATGATTTCAAAATACAATACATCATGGGAGGTGTGGCTATAACTCAGGGTAGAATACCTGCATAGCAAGCCTAAGGCCCTTGATTCAACCCCCCAATGCCACAAACCAAATAAATAAAACTTAAACCACATAAAAATGCATATTAAAAAAGAGCAATGGAAAAATTCTAAAAGCATTTTTGTTACCTTCAGAGAATGCAAACCTACTAGACTTTCCAGCTCAATAAAAAAAACAGAAGCAGAAGCAGAGCACTAGGACTCACCTCTGCAGTTTTTCCTAATTGCACAGTACCAGGACTCAAATAAACCCCTCCTCCCTCATGCTGCTTCTTGTCAGGTACTTGATCACAGCAGAGTGATAAGCAGCATTATTCTACCAAGTAAGCCCAGAGAAAACACAATTTGCATGTAAATTTACCTGTCTACTAAAACCAGGTCATCTCTCAAGAGGGCACATTTTGCTTTGGGCCAAAATACATGCACGAGGCAGCCAGCTTTCAAGTCTTTGTCCATATGGAGAGCATGAGCCAGCTGATTAACTGTCTAAAGTGAGAAGAAAACGAGGTTCAATAAAAATTTAAAATACTATGGTTTGGCACATCATTTTAACCCAAGCCCAGATTGGCCTTGTTCTCACTACCCCTCTCTGCCTCAGTGCTGGGAATTACAGGTGTGACCACTAAGCCCAGCTGAACAGCACCCATTTTTGCAAAATGGGAAGTTAAACTTGAAATGGTTTGAAATAAAGCCACCTGAATAATTGAGAAATATGAAGGGTTTTTTTTTTAACACATACACACACAATGTATATATTTAAATGTACACAGGTATTATTTTGTGTGCATGTGTATCTGTGCATGCCTGGTGCCCTCAGAAGCCAGAAGAAGGCATCAGATCCCCTGGAACTGGAGTTATATACATGGTAGTCAACTATTACATGGATTCTGGGAATGAAACACAGGTCCTCTACAAGAGTAGGCATTGCTAATATCCACTGAGCCATCCATCTCTCCAGCCCTGAAACCTGGGTTTTAAAATAACTAAACAGGAAAAATAAATTTTCCTTTGCAAGTTTACTCATACCATCTACAAAACAATCAGGATTTGGAAGCAAACACATAACAAATGAGATACTAGCAACAGAGCCCAGTGAACTCCTGAGTGATGCTGTTTATATCATAAAGGATGAGTTATGGAGTCTATTGTTTTTGCAAATTCCTATTTTCTGGTTCTTTTGAAATGAAGGTGACTGCTTGAAAATAATTCTAAAAATCAAACTTAAACACCTCACTGAAGTTAAGGTCAATTCAAATGTGTCTGGCCCAGACTGGTCCCAAACTCATGGCTATCCTTGGGCCACAGCTTCCTGAGTTCTAGGATTACAGATGTGAGGCACCACAGTCCAATTTGTGAAGCAGGTGCTAATTCACAAGAACCTTGAAACTCTTGTCATTTAAACCTCAAACCAGTTCTAAATCTCAAGATAACTTCTCAGGTATATTAACTTATGAAACTAATGTACATATTTAATGTAACTTATATAGTGTTAGATAAACAGTACAAGGGATTTAAAGCAAAATTAGAAAATAGCATACATACCACTAGAGTTGTAACTAAAAACATTTATTTTAAGGGCTGGGAATGTGGCTCAATTGGTATAGTGCTTGTCTAGTATCCTGATCTATCAGCACTGCATTAAAAAACAAACAAAAACCAGAGTGTGATGGCACATGCCTGTCTGTAATTGTGCCATTGGGGAGGTAGAAAGGTCATACTTGGCTACGCAGCAGTTCAAAGCCAGCTTGAACTACATGTGACCCTTTTCTTTAACAAAATAAAAAGAGAAGAGATGGCTCATAGGTTATAAGCACTCATTGCTCCTCCAGAGGACTGGGGTTTGGTTCCTAACACCTACCCACCCACGCCAATCCCAGGGGATCTGAAGCTCTCTTCTGACTTCAACAGGCAACAAATTCCTGTGATACACAGATATACACAGATAAAACAAAACCATATACCCCCACAAAAAATAAGGGGCTAGAGAAACATCTATTTTTCAAATGTAGTCAAAATCTTAAATGAGGCTGACGTTGAAAGTCTACAGTGACAATGTTAGGTCCTTTTGTTATTTTGTTTTTCTTAGTTATTTTTTTATGTGCATGGTGTTTTGTCAGCATGTGTCTCTGTGTACCACTTACATGCTTAGTGTTCACTAAGGCAGAAGATGCCAGGTCACCTGGAAATAGTTACAAAATTTGCCCACCATGCTAGAAATGGAACCTGGATCCCTTGGAAGGGTGGAAGCCAGTGGTCTTCACTAAAGAACCATCTCTCCAAGCTATTTATTTGTGTTTAATATGGCTTATTTTAAAAATGCTTTGATAGATGCATAAATAAACCAAAACAGCAATCTTAATACAGGATTTATAAAATTAAGATCCTAATGTCTGGGCAGTGGCTCACTGAGCACTTCCCAACAAGACCCCAGGTTAGCTCCCTACCACCACAAACAAAAGATTAGGAAATAAAACACAGGGCTGGAAAGATGGTCCAGCAGTTAAGAGTGGGTACTGTTCTGGCAGAAGACCCTTGAGCTGGGTCCTAGCTCCTACACTGGTGTATCTCACAACTGCTTTTAACTCCAGCTCTCCTCTGGCCTCCTCCAGCACTGACTCATGTGCACACATCCCCCTATTTGCACTATCACTGACACTTCTGAGTACAGGCAGATGTGTGGGCAGGCACACATATCTGTGCACATTTGCACACAACTTAAACACAAAACAAAATTGATGGCACAGCAGTTTAGAGCACTTATTGATCTTGCAGATGATCCTGGTTTGGTTTCTAGCACCCACATGGTGGCTAACAACCATCTGTAACTCCAGTTTCAGGGGATCTGACACCCTCTTCTGACCTCCACAGGTACCAGGCACACACATGGTACACAGACATGCAAAACATCATACATATAAAACTTTTATAAAGCCTGGGCAGTGGGAGGCAGATTTCTGTGAATTCAAGGCCAGTCTGGTCTACAGAGCTAGTTCCAGGACAGCTTCCAAAGCTACAGAGAAACAAACAAAAAAATTAACAAGAAGACTATAGGAAATAAAATACCAACAGAATTGTAATGAGGTTTGAAGATTTTGTTTTATGACAGCATCTCACTTTGTAGAACTCAGAGATCTGCCTGCCTCTGCTTTAGTCCATCACTATGCCTGGGTGTTTTTTTCCTAAGGTGAGTTATTTTAAATGCTGAAATACAGAAGGCAAGTACTTAATGAGGTATGAGCTATTATGACTGTGTTCTAAGTAAAATATTATGTACAGTACTAAAGGTCTATTATCTTAAGGGGGCCACTCCTCGGGATCATTTCCGTTTGGGAATAGGGGAGGGAAACAAAGAACATTGAAGAAAGAACTTAAAGCAGAGAGCACAGATCAGGAAAAATGAGATCATGTCCATAAAACATCACACAGCAAATTTCCCAAGATTCAAATGATTGGACACAAATAATTAAAATTCCAATTTGACAAAAAGTCTTAACTACAAAGTAGCAGTGGTATCTGGGGTGATCTGAATACCACCAGTTCATATACTGACAGCTAATTGGGAAAGATTTAGGTGTGGATATGTTGGAGGAGGTATGTCACTAGTGGTGGGCTTGAAGTTTCAAAAGCCCTCACCATTCCCAATTAATTCTCTCTGCCTCATGCTTAAAGATAAGATTTGAGCTCTCAGCTACTGAGTTAGCATTATACCTACCTGCCCACTGCCATGCTTCTTGCCATGGACTGTAAGCTCACAATAAACTCTCTCCTATATACACTGTCTCAGTCACAATGTTTTGCAATAGAAAAGTAACTAAGAAATGCCCTTAATTGTGTGTCTGAAGTTTGAAGAGTGTCACCTAATCCCAGCACTGGACAGGCAGAGGGCAGTCTGGTCCACACTGAAAATTTTAGGCCAGTCGTACATAATGAGACCCTGTCTCAAAAAAAATGATAAATTTTAAGATCCAGGAATACTTTCATAACCATCTCACCTACAGCTTCCCCAAACCAGAAATGGCAACGAGCTAAGGATGTAGTTCCATGGCAGAGTACTTGACTAGAATAGAATGTACAGGGCCTTATATTCAATTCCCAGCACATATGCACACATACTGAGGCATGGCTCTTCAATACTCAATTTTTGAGTTTGTGAACAAGTTCTATTTAAGGTGGCTATGACTAGGTGTGGTGCCACACTTGAAATCCTAGCACAAAGAATTTTTGGTTTTCCAAGCAAGGTTTTTTGGTATAACACTCCTGGCTGTCCTGGAACTAGCTCTGTAGACCAGGGTGACCTTGAACTCACTGAGATCCGCCTGCCCCTGACTCCTGAGTGCCACCACTGCCAAGCTGGAGAAAACTTAATTTGGGTGCTAGAGATGGGTTGGGGGTTAAAAGCACTGGCTGCTCTTCTAGAACTGCTCTGAAGTTTAGTTCCCAACACTCACAAAGCAGTTCACAACTGTCTCTAATGCCAGTTCTGGGAGATTTAATGCTCTCTTCTGTCCTCTGTTAACAATGTATGCACCTGGAGGCTATAAATGCAGGCAAAACATTCATACATATAAAACAAATAAAAATAAAAACCTTATTTTTATTTAAAGTTAAGGACAGGGCTAGTGGTAGAATTTACCTAATATGCAAGAGGCCCTGAATTCTATTGCCTCATACCCCAGTAAAAACAAGTTAACAATTTTATACTTCCAGTAATTTAGTTCTCAGGAAAATACTTTTAGAACTCAAAATATTAGCAATGGCTACGCAATTTGTCAAAGTGACTATCACTAGTTTTTCTATGCCTAGCCATGTGGATAGCTTACATAATCTTGTAACTGCAAGGTATTTCCAGGCCTATTATGGGTTTGGCAGTATACCTTCACACTTTTCTTTTCATCTGACCCTTCAGTCATAAGGTAGGCTTTATCTCCGTCGGTTCCCTCGACACTCAGGAAGCAGTTGGTTGTGTGGCCGATCCCACTAGGGAGAACTTTATCCCACAGCATTGCATTGATGACAGAGCTCTTTCCACTACTGGTCCTGAGGAACATGCAAAACAAGAAGTGAAAACATGCTTCACTGGGCTCAAACCAACATTTTCATAGTTCAATTTCATAGACGACTCCTTTTATAAAAAGACCACAAAGCACACCTGTGATCTAGAACTTGGAAGTGTAGACAAGAGTAGAGGTTCAGCTACACAAGACAAAGTAAAATAAAACAATAAACCAGGCAAATAAGACAGACAGACAAGAGCTGTTAATTAGCAGTGTACATTTACAACAACTCTTCCCTTAGCTTTGGTTGCTTGCTTCTTGTAGCAGTTTGAAAGCAATCATCAAAATTCTGTGATAAATTTCCTATTACAAGATGAGGTCTAATGTCCCATCTTCAATCTAGGCTGGACTGTGACAGCTTCACAAGTTATGCTGGGTAGCTTCCAAGGCTGAACATAAAAGGCAATCAATGCAGTTCCTTCCTGTTTACTGGGTCACATGCGCTTGGAATCTTGCCACGGAAGAGGTCAACTACACTGACTGCTGTGCCACAGTTAAGTCAAGCAGATGGGAGGTCTGGCAAGGTCTCCAAGTCACTCCAGCACAGTACCAGACATGTGAAATGAAGATATCAAATAATTCCACCCCTCCAGTGTTGAGCAACTCCAATCTTCAGTAACAAGGACAAGCTGTTTCCACTGTGTCCTGTCTGAACTAAGAATCAGTGTGTACAATGAAATGAACATATGTTTGGTTGATTTTTGAGACAGGGTTCTCTGTGGAACTACCCTGATTGTCAGGCCTCAAACTCAGAGACCAGCCTGTCTCTGCCTCCTGAGTTCTGGGACTAAAGGTGTTGTGCCACACAGCCCAGTAGTGATTCTCAAAACTAATTTGGACCCCCTACTCTCAAAGAATCTTGAAGAGATGATGCCAAGCCCTTAGGTACATTACGAACCAGAATCAGACTATGAAGTTACACACAAACATAGGTAATTCTCCTACTATGCCTAATACTGGGATCACAGATCTGTGCTACTATGTGTAAATCTGTTCAAGTTATTTTTATAAAGCTTTATCTCTACCCACCAGCCACCGACCTCCAGGAGTTTCAAAATTTTCCAGCCCTCAAATCATTTAGTGACCAGCCCTAACCTAAAATTATCTAAGGACTGCCCTAGGCTCATTAGCATAAATCCAGGTATGACCAAAGGTGTTTATTATAAATAATAAAAGCTATTTCTATTGCTCAGGAAATTCTAAGGGTTTTAGCAAGTCTGTTATAGGAAAGGAGATGAATGCCAAATATATATCTTCTGTTCTAGCATGCCAATTCTAGTTTTCCTGACCTATGTGGCATCTCTATTTCATGGATGGTTCCTCTTCTGCCCTATCTTGTTATTACTCTTCCTTTGTGAATTATCTATCTCATCAAACCCCCCCCCCCAGATCTCAATTACCAACATAAGCCAATAATTTCTAAACTTCCTACAATTTGCCTAAGTTGCAATTTCAAATATGCAACTTGGCAGTTTGGAAAACTTTATTATGTGTACCATGTGCATGTAGTGCTCATGGAATCTAGAACAGGGCACTGGATTCCCTGACACCAGAGTTAGAGGGAACTGTGAGCCACAATGTGGGTGCTAGCACCTGAACCCTGGCCCTCAAAAGAACAGCAAGCACTCTTAATTACCACATATCTCCTGCCCCCTAGTTACTCTCTTTTCTCTCTTATCAACCTTTCCAGCCTAACCATCCAAACTAAGACTTTCAAATTTCTCACCTCCTATTCCTATCCTCTGTGCTCCACATCTAACGTCGTAATTGTTAACTCTAAATCCTCTCATTTTACCTTTCAAAACATAAAGTATACAGAACTTACTGAGCTCTGTGAGGTCTTCAGCAAACAGGACCACTTTGCTCCCATTTAGTATCTCAAACCTAACTTACAGTTCTCTAAGCACATTAAGGTCTCCCTCTCCATTTACCACTCTGCAAGAAATGGGCTTTGGAGCCAGCTCATATCCAAAGCTTATTCCTCAGCTAATGATAGCACATTGAAAATATGCTGTAAAAATACAGATGCTCCCTGTCTCCCCAATATTACAGCAAGTGATGAAGTGGTTCACTAGGAACTGTGGCTCCCAGCCACACCCTAAGTGAGTCTTCTATACTGCACAGGACTGTGCATGCTTCTGCAACATCATGCATAGGCAGAGAAGTCAACCACTGTAAGTCAGGCACCATCTGTTCCTATCTCTGAGCTCAAGGGAGCTCAAGGAAGACATCAGTCACCACCATCTAGAGGTCACTTCCTACTACATGTCCCTAATCTTAGGTGAAGCCTATTCATGGAGCTGCCTCTCTCTAAACTTATGTAAGCTCTGAGAATACTGTGCCAAGTAAAAGCAGCAGATAGTAAAACAAAATAATAGACCATTGTGGGACTTTAACAGGATATTTTAAGAATAGAACTGGCTTGGAATGAAGCCATGTGACTGAATATCTACCTAGCATGTGATACAGCCTGGATCAACTCCTAGCACCACCACAATGCTACTACCATTAGAAACAAAATGAGACACAGAATTGACTTGAACAGCCAACTCTGGAGAACCAGTTCAAGGCCTTGCTTGGCTACCCTGTCTCAAAAAACCAAACTAAATAAACAAATAACACCTGAGAAGGACTCCTTCAGGAAAGCCTTCTGAGGTAGTAACATTTGAGGTGAGATATGAAGAATGAAGAATGACCTAGGCACCAACAATTACATCTTCTGTCCTACCACCTCAACTGCAAAAGCCGTATGATGAGAAACAGCCTGGGTCTATGACATGAGTTTAGTAAACAAATGCCATTATTGGATTATTGGTTAAAAAAAAATAAAAAAGGTACTTTTTTTTTTTGCAATGATGGTGATTAACTCAGGACTTTGTGCATACTTTTGAAAACAGGCACATCTGCAGCTTAACACCTGATGTCAGATGAGTATATCAGACATGACAAAGATCACTCTGTCACCTAGACACACTGACATACAATACTCCCTGCTTTCCTCTGGGAATGATGAGATGAGTCTTCTAGAAGGCATACTAATAATCAGTACATGGTGGTGCAGAGGCAGGCAGATCTCTGTGAGTTCAAGGCCAGTCTGGTTTATATGGAAAGTTCTAGGATACTGAGGACCTACCCCCATTCTCAAGAAAATTAAAATATGAACCTAGAAAAATATCTCACAACCTGAATATGGTGGCATAAATTTGTAGGATCAGAAGTCAAGGCCAGCCTCTGACTATATAGCAAACTGGAGCCCAGCCCAGATAGGCTACATGAAACCCTGTTTCAAGAGGGAAAAGAGAAAAAAAAATTACACCTTCTTCATTACCTATCCCTCCATCTTTCTAACTGGACAAGGGATCATAAAAAGGGGATAGAGGAGGAGGGAAGACTGGCCTCTGGGGACAGGAGGAAAGAGGGAGGAGAGAAGGAAGGGGAAATGAAGGAGGGGGGAGAGGGGAGAAACAGGGAGGGGGAAATCATAGGTTTACCTGCCAAAAAATGCCACTTTCATATGTCTTCGAGAGAGCACCTCCCCAATGACAGCAAGCTTATTTCTGTAGCCCTGTATTTCCACCAGATCATCCTCAGTTGCTATTCGATCAAGTTCTGGATTCCTGTAAGTTGCTGCAAAGTTGAAAAAGTATTAGAAAAGGTGATATAAATGAATTCTTCTAATTATACAACTGTGAACATTTTGGGTTGTTCTACACTAACATACCACTTGAAAAATAAAAATGGATATAGTATTTGGTTTATTTATTTTAAATGTGTATGTCAGGTATTTAATCTAGGACCTCATACATCAAGGCAAGTGCCTACCATTAAGCTACAACCTTGAACATCTAATAAAAGGTTGCCTACTGTGATGAGTATCCTGCCTCAAAGAATTTCAAAATTATTAAAAATTTCAAAGACCCGGTGAAAGGGATAACTTAATATTTATCTAGTGCTCAAAAACACAAACCATATGTGAAACAAAAACCCATTTTTAAAGTGAGAAATAAGAACCTAACAGCCACCTAACAAGCCAGCTTTGAGCTGGAAGAGTTCACATGCTGAGCTGTGAAGGTTCCTAGCCTTCAAATACTAAGGAGGGGTTCAGCCCTCAATTCCCATGAGGAAGGGAATCAGCAGTCCAATCAGTAAGAAAAGGCAGAAAGGAAGACTTACAAGACTGAAGCAGGAGCAGGGCTTATCTGAACCACGGAACTGTCCTAACCAAGGATGGAGGAAGTTCTAATCACACATATTTGAAAAGGGGCTAAAGGAGTATCTGCAGCCATACCACCCTGAATGTACCGGATCTTGTCTGAACAGGGGACAAAGGAGCCAGGCTGTGGTGGCATACACCTTTAATCCCAGCACCTGGGAGACAGGCAGGTGAATCTCTGTTAGATTGATTGGAGTTTGAGGATAGCCTGGTCTACAAAGGGAGTTCAAGGACAGCCAGGGCTACACAGAGAAACCCTGTCTCAAAACAAAACAAAACCAAAAAAAAAAAAAAAAAGGAAAAGAGAAGGAGTGAAGCACTATTTTTTTCTCATCCTAGAAATAGGAGAAAAAGCTAATGCTGCCTTTCTTTTTGAAGATAAAACATGGAGACTCATTTGGTTATCATAACCAGCAACATTTAAAACTAAGTCAGTGAGCCGGGTGTTGGTGATGCAAGCCTTTAATTCCTGCACTAGAGAGACAGAGGCAGGCGGATCTCTGAGTTGGAGGCCAGCCTGGCCTACAGAGCAAGTTCCAAGACAGGCTCCAAAAATCAATACAGAGAAACACTGTCTCAAAAAGCAAAACAAAACAAAAAACAATTGAGGCTACCTTTGAGCAGTTACACAAAAACTAAAGGAAAACATTTCTCCTCTCCCAAAACTAAAGGAAAATACCTATCCTCTCCCAAAGAGATTACATTCTCCTGTGAGAGGAGATCAGCCTCAAATTGCTCAGGGGCAAATTGGAAAAGAGACATGTGTAATGGCTGCATACATACTGCCTGATGTTGGGCTTTGTGACCTTGGAGCAAGTTGCTTATCTTCACAGTGACTTTAAAATGAGTATGCTTTTAACTTACCTACTGGTCTTATGAGGACTAGAGAAATTTTAATTTCATAAAACACTCAGGCTAGTATCTTACTCACTTCTTAACTATGAAATTGCTTTTACTCACTATGGTATTGTTCCCAGAATACAGAACAATGTGAATTCAATGACTAAACCCGAGCAGGGCACACTCCTGTAAACCTAGCAGTCAGAGGGTCAGGAATTTAAAGCCATTCACATCTACACAGCCAGTTCAAAGTCAGACCTGATCTCAAAAAAAAAAAAAAAAAAAAAAAAAAAAAAGTAAAATAAAATAAAGAACTAAAGTTGAAATAATAAAACATTTGTATATATTTTCAACAGTAATTTAAGAGGTACCAACCTTCAACAAAATGTGACCCCTCAGTAACAAACTCCAGTAACTGGCCAAAGATTGCAGTGATAGCCTTCTTTGCTAGCACGAAGTGCTTCAGTGGAGACACAGTTTCTGCCATTATGCACCTAGGACGAGAAAAGATTAGAAAAGCAATGATTAGGCTCAGGGTGACAGTGCCTAGAGTCTCAGCTACTGGGCAGGCCCAGGAAGTCCAGTGCTACTTGGACAACATAACATACCAGGGCTTTCCTAATCTCCAAAGCTCTAACTAATTTAACTGAATAATAAAGTCTAACTGGCCCAGCAGTTAAGAGAACTGGCTGCTCTTCCAGAGGACACAGGTTCAATTCTGAGCATCCACATGGTAGAGCACAACTGTCTATTACTCTAGTTCTAGAGGGTCTGATGCACACAGACCTATATCCAGCCACAATACCTATACACATGAAATATAAAGTATTAAAAAATAAGACATTTTAAGGAAACAATTTAAAAAAACTGAATAATAAGGTAGCTGTGGTATCACATCCTATAATCCAGCAGTAAAGTGGCGGAAGCAGGCCAGCTTTGAAAAGACCTTGTTTAAAACAAAACCAATCAAACAAAACATTCTGTGACCCTCAAAATAGTTCAATGAATAAAGATGCTTACTGCTAAGCCTGAGGACCTGAGTTCAAAGCCCCCAAAACCAACTGATGGAAGGAGAGCCAACTCCAGAAGGTGTTCTTTGTCTCCAACACAAATTCCAACACTCCCACACATAAATCAAATGTAACTTTAAACCATGATAAAAATATGCAATATTAGCTGAGTGTTGGTGGCACACGCCTTTAATCCCAGCACTTGGGAAGCAGCAGTAGGATCTCCGTGAGTTCAAGGCCAGCCCACTCTACATAGTGAGTTCCATAACAGCCTCCAAAGACAAAGAGAAAAACAAAACAAAAAATATGTGCATATTTCTTGGGCTGTGCAGATGTTTCAGTTGTTAAGATCACTTGTTGATATGTAAACCTCAAATTGGGTTCCAAGAACCCACATGGCAGCTCACAACCATTTGTAACTCCAGGTCCAGGGGATCTGATGCCCTCTTCTAACCTCCAAGAACACTAGGAAAGCCATATATATCAAAAACAAACAACTAAAAGCAAACCAAAAAGTACATTTTAAAAACATACACATTTTAAAGTCAAGCATGGTGGAACATGCCTTTAATCCCAGCACTCGGGATCTCTGTGTGTTTCAAGGGGGGCAGCCTGCTCTACAGAGTGAGTTCCAGGACTCAGTCCAGAGTGAGGACTGTCACACAGAGAAACTGTTCTGAAACAAACAAAAAATCCTACACACATATTCTAATATTCTAACACCTGCTTGACAGTTTGTGTCTTAATTCCCTAATAGCAAAAATTAACATGACCAAATAGACTTATTTTAAGGTACCATTTTAGCCAGAGACTAAAGACTACTGCTGAACGATCTCTTAATAAAACAGGTGAAACGTGCCTCCCTTAACGCTGCAGGAAAATTTGCAAACTCAAGGTCTACAGAGGTTAACAGTTGAGTTCCAGGCTTGCCTGGGTCATTTAGTAAGACCCTGTCTCAAAATGAAAAGTTTAGAAATGGGTTGAGGAAGGGAGTATAATGGCTCAGTGGTAAAGCACTTGCCTAAAACCTGTGAGGGTTTTGGAATATGTAAATAAGCAATGCAAAATCGGTAAAGGCTAATGACAAAAATCTTGGTTACATTTCCTATTTTATTTCCCTTTCGTGAAGATGAAACTATCATAGCTAAGCTGCGGCTGCATGTGACTCTTAAGCACATCACGGAACTGAATTAGGGAGAGGAAGCCAAGATCTCAAAGCATAACTAAGTTATTAACTTTCCCAATTTAAGGTGTAGAGGAGAAAATAAAATTCTCAGGTCACAATACACTGCAGACATTGAGAAAGCAGCAGCTTTCATCACAATAAAGGAGTCAAGACTTCAAGGCGGTAAGATGGCTTCAAACCAAAGTCCCTCCCCAAACTTTAAGGAATGTTAAGAGACTTTATACCTAGAAGCTTCTTATGAAAATGACACTAAAGACAATCACACACTAACCCCGGTGTGCGTGAACTGAAGCACCGTGGCCAGCGGGAGGGTGGGTCCCTCCAGAATCCTGAACTGACGGCGCGGAGGAGGTGCGTGGGACAGGAAGCCGCGTGGGCCGTGAGCTGGCCCAGCCGGGTGGACTCTTACCTGGACAGGCCTTCCCGCAGGCTGGCTGCCCGCCGCTGCCGCCCGGCCCGCCGCACCGGCCGGTCAGGGCGCCCTCGCTCCGCCTGTCCGGAGCTCGAAGGTCACCCCGGGCGTCCCCACCCGCCAGCGGACACTCGCTCCGTCCCGGCTCCGACGGTCACCCAGCAACCACAGCTCCGCCACAGCCTCTGGGCTGTCTCATCCTCCCAAGAGAGGGGAGGCGCCCAGAGGAGGGGCGGCGGGGCGGATGCTTCCGGTTCCTCGCCTTTCCTATTGGCTGTTACTCCGAGACCGGAACTGCATGTATCCCGGGTGCCATTTTCCTTCAGGGTAGAAGGCGATGTTTGTTTATGGGCAGGGAATCTTTAACCATGGCTTTGGCCGCTTTCCTTTCCACCTTACAACCCCTCCCTTTCGTTTTGGGTGTGGGACCTAAAACCACAATCTTGTTTAATGAAGCTAACCGGAAAGGGCAAACTTTTGACTTCGCTGCTCTGCTCTTGGTTTCCCGAGTGAGGTGTGTGTAGGTGTGTTATTTAGGAATTAACTTGTCCATGAAAACTTTGCTAGGGATCACCTGGAGACCTTGTTAAACTATTGATTTTGATTCAGGGGTGAAGCCTGAGAGTCTACATGGTCACCTCCTTGGAGAGCTTCCAGAGCACGTGTCCTTTCCAGAGTTAGCAAGTGAAATAAGACCAGTATGGTGGAGTGTAGGAAAGAGGAGGGTGAGAGGAACAAATGTTGGAAGGACAGCAGAAGTAAAATCATAAACGCTAAGATCAGAAGTATGAATTTCTTTAAGACAGGGTCTCACTGTGTAGTCCAGATGAGCCTTAAACTTGGAAATCTGAGACCTGCTAAGCATTGGTTTTATAAATGAGTGTGCACCACCACATCCTGCAGAAATTTGGTTTTGATTGTGATGGAAAACTTTTGGCCCAGAGAATAATAAAATTTGATGTATGCTTGTTTGCACTGAGACAAGGTCTCACTTTGTAGTTTTAGCTGGCTTGGAGCTCCCAAATGGTAGGATTAAAGGAATATGCTATTAAACACTGAATTGATTTATCTTTTACCAAATCACTTTGGTTGCCTTAGGTGCTGGACTGTAAAACGATTCCACACAATGCTTTTTTATTTTTAAATAGTGCTAGAGATTGAACCCAAAGTCTCATGCATCAAGCACTCTACTTCTGAGCTACATGCCTACCCCTGAGCAACAGAGGTGCATGCCTACAGCAGTAGTTACTTGGAGTCTGAAGCAGAAAGATTGCTCAAGCCCAGGAGTTCTAATTCTGCTGGAAAATAAATATAGTGAGACCATCAGCTGGGAAAAGGGGGGAGGGGTTGCTGGGCATGGTAGCTCACTGACCACAGCACTTGGAAAGAGAAGACAAGAGGATGGCTTCAAGGCAGACACCAGACTGGACTAGATAGAGACCTGTCTCAAAAATTAAAGGCAAAATTGATTGCCAATAAAGATCTAAAAATATTCATTTTACATTAAAATGAGCAATCTCCTGCTTTGTTGTGGAAGTGTTGCTGTGTATTCAGTTATGGTACAAAAGCTAAGATCTGTATTTTAAGGAATGGTTTATGGGCGTGTAATAGCACCTGCACTGGCCAAAATATCAGAAAAGGAAGAATGGAGACTGGAACGGGAGTGGACATGAGTTCTGCTCTTTTTGTTATTGCTGTTAATTGTTTTGAGGCAGGGTTTCTCTGTGGCTTTGGAGCCTGTCCTGGAACTAGCTCTTGTAAACAGACTGTCCTTGAACTCACAGAGATCTATCTGCCTCTGCCTCTGCCTCCTAAGTGCTGTAGGGAAATGAATTACTTACTAATATTGGGGAAGTTGATACATTGAATGAATAAACAAAGATTGAACTTACATCATGCATACACACCAAAAAATTCAGATGAATGAAAACACTAAACATAAAAAATAAAATAAAATAGAAGAAGTATTAAGACGCAGGTTTGATTCCCAGCATCCATATAGCAGCTCACAGCTCCAGTTCCAGGGAATGTGATTCCTCTTTTGACCTCCAAGGGCACAAGGCATGTAAGTGGCACACAGATATAATACAGGCAAAACATTCATAAACATAAAAGTGGGGGGTTTTTTAAGAAAAAAATAGGAAAGTAATTTTGTGCATCTGTAATCTGTTGGAAGACTTTTGTAAGCAAGACATAGAAAGTACAATTTATAAGGGGGAAATGTATTTGAAGGTTTCTCTCCCTCACTCCCTTCTTTTCCTTCACCCCTCCCTGGATTTGAGATAGGATCTCAGTGCTTATGTTCCAAGCTGACTTAGAACTCACAACACTTCTGTCATAGTCCCCCAAGTTATAGAATTCAGGTCTGTGCTCTCATTCTAGTTAAGACTCTGACAACATGTTTATGGGTGTGTGTATGCATCCCATAGCATGAATCTGTCAGCCAAAGCTATTCTGCTAGTTTTATATTAACTTGACACAAGCTAGAATAATTTGGGAAAAAAGAACCTCAGAAAGTGTTCCTACTAGATTCACCTGTGGGCAAGCCTGCAGTACATTTTCTTAATTAGTGATTGACGTGTGAAGGCCCACTGTAGGTTGTGGGTGGTGCCACCCCTGGGCAGATGGTTCTGGGATTTTTAAGAAAGATTGAGTGATTAAGCATACTGGCTGTTTTTTTTTTCAGAGAACCTGTAATTCCCAGTACCTACATGGGCACTAACAACTGTTAGAAACTCCAGTCCTAGGAGATCTGATAGACTATTCCAGCCTTCTCTGTTATTACATACATATGGTTTGTATACATAACATGGAGGCAAAAACACTTATACACATAAAAATTACATAAAACATAAAATTAGGCTGGGTGGTGGCACCACATGCCTTTAATTCTAGCATTCAGGAGGCAGAGGCAGGTGGGTCTCAAAGTTCAAGGCCAGCCTGGTTTACATAGTGAGTTCCAGGACAGCTAAGGCTACACAGATAGAGAAACCCTATCTCAAAAAACAAAGTGAAATTGGGAATAGTGTTATTTTCTCAAGACTATATATTTTTCAGAAACCACCATGTAAGAATGTCATAGATCTTTGAAAATCTGAGAAATTGGCTAATATGTGATGAAATACATTTAGAGAAATCTAGAAAAGATTTCAGATGACATAGCTAGTAAATTTATACACAGGAAAGCCTTCTGAATAGTGCACACTATTTTTAGTTTTTGGAGAACTGGAAAATGCTTTGGAACCTCAGAAGTTAAGAACTCCAAGTGACATCTAAAAACAAAGGTAATCATTGCTGCCGTTCATAGCTGTCAAGATACAGTGTTCACAAACATCTCCATCAGAGATGTGTCCTGACTAGAGTGTGGTCAAGCTCCAAGTGTACAGAATGGGGAGGGTGAGAGAGTCCCCACCTCTCCTTCTGAGGCTCTGTAAGCAGTCAGTGGCAATGAGGTTGGAAAAGACATTTTCTTCAGCATTGTCCCTAATTCTGGAAAGCCCTCACTGTGAGCAACTTCAGTTACTCTCTGGATCACACGAAAAAGGAAAAAGACATGAGAGCAGGAGGACTAGTTGTGAAGAAGCGCAGTGGGAGTGGAAATGAGTGGGAAAAAAAATGAATGGGAAAAAAGCAGGAAATGCCTGCTTCTTAGAGGAAATCCACTAGATAATTTTCTGTGTCCAGAAGTCAAGATATCAGCTGCTTATTGTTTTAATTACATGTTTGTGCAGGCAAGTGTGTTAATCAGAGGATAGTTTGTAGGAGCTGGTCCTCTCCTTCCAGTTGGTTCCTAGGGTTTCAAACTCAGTTTGCCGGACTTAGGAGCAGGTGCCTTTACCCATTGGCCAGCTTGCCAGTTCTGAAAATTTTTTCCTTTACTTAGGTCTATTTTCCCAGAGATCATTAAGCTATAGGTTGACTATACTAGCAGTTTATGGTCTATTAGCTCAGTGGGATCTGATCTCATGAGAGACTCATCAAAAAGTGCAAAACTGAATGGCATTAGCTTGTTATCTCCAGTCTATGATTGCTACCAATTAAAATACAGACTTAAGATAATTATTCAGGTCTGCATCCTAAAACTGTTTCCCAAAAAACATAAACAACAAAATTACGGAGAATCTAGAGTGGAGTTTTGAAAAATAGCTCAAGGACAAAGGCTCACTGTGTGCAATGGTGTAATAGAAATGTGATGCCAACCTGGATTCTTCTCCGGGGTGTGTGACCTTAGCTTGTTGGCAGCTTGCTGTGGCTGTGGTTTTACAACAAACAATTTAAACAGCTAAGATCCCAAGCTTTAGGATACACTTAACTGGAAAGCCCTACCAGGAATGTTACGATCATAAGAAGTGAGTTTCTAGGAATACAGGCATGCAAAATAGAACTAGATGCTGAATTGTGAGAATATTCATTGAGTTGTCCATTCCCAAATACTGTCTTTGGTTGAGCTCAGGCTGGTCTTGAAGGCTGTTCTTCTACTTAGCCTCCAGAGTGGTGGGCACTAAAACACCTAGATACCCTGTTTTGTTTTGAGCCAAGATCTCAGGTGGTCTCTATTCCACTTCCTGACACTCAGCCATGTAGGTAGGGATGACCTCAACTGCTAATCTTCCTGCCTCTACCTTCCAAGTGTTGGGATTACAGGACTGCACACCATACTTATCAGGCAAAGGTTCCCATGGTTCTTGGTGTTGGAAAGCAGCAGGTAATATGTATGTTGGTCTTTTTTAACTCTATTTTTTAATTGTTACATTGCTAGTAAAACACAATGATACTCATTCTGTTCTCTTGATACTGCTACAATAGAGGTTATTCATTGCATTAATTATGTTCTCTCTAACTCAAATTCTCAAGTCCTTACTCCTGGTACCTCAGAACAGACTTATTTGAAGACTCAAGTTAAAAACAAACAAAAAAACCCAGAAGTTTGTGAGTCTGTATGTGAATGCCACATGTGCAGGATGGGCCAGGTACCTTAGAGCTGGAATTTCAGGTGGGTGCTGGGAACCAAACCCAGGCCTCTGGAAGAGCAACAAGTATTCTTAGCTGAGTTATCCTCTAGCTACAGAGGTGTTTTATTTATTTTATTTTTTTAAAAAACTTGTTTGGCTGGAGAGATGGCTCAGTGGTTATGAACACTGACTGCTCTCCCAGAGGACCCACGTTCAATTCCCAGCACACACATGGCAGCAGATCAAGCTGTCTGTAACTCTTGCTCCAGATCTGATGCCCTCACACAGACATACCTGCAGGTAAAACACCAATGTACATAAAATAAAAATAAAATTTATTTTTTGCTGGGCAGTGGTGGCACATGCCTTTAATTCCAGCACTCCAGAGATAGAGGCAGGCAGATCTCTGTGAATTCGAGGCCAGGATGGTCTACGAAGTGAGTTCTAGGACAGCCCAGGACTGTTACACAGAGAAACTTGTTGTATCTGAAGACCTTAAGCTCCTGCTCTTTAAACCTCTCTTTCCAGTGTGCTTGGATGGCTGCTGTGTACCACATTCTGGCCCAGCCATATCTTGAGTGAGCTTGGTAGGACTGGCCATATGATTGGTGATCCAATAAAGACATGGAGATTAGGGACAGAATCAAGTCAGGAGAACACTGTAGTATAGACTGCCACTCACCAAGCTGAGAAGCTAGGGTCAGACCTTTCCTTGTGGTTATCAGTGGGGACACCCTTGCCAGTGGTTTTGGAACTGAGAGCTAGTTACATTTCCACTATTTAAGAGACCTGCTTTGTAGCTGTTACAGCGGCCATTAAAATGCAGACAGATTAATCAATATATTAACACCAGAAACCCTTCATCCCCACACTCCTAACTTTGTGGTAATACTTCTGTGGGTCTGCTCAATCCATAAGTTTTCATCAGAAGTTTGGGCATGACTTTGTAGGTACACAATCGAGGATGAAATGTTAGGAGCGTCAGTAATAGGTATTTAGATAAGGATAAAGTGCCAGTTGGTTATGAAAGAGTGGAAGGTGGTTGCATGCTTACTGTCTTGCACCTTCTCAGCCGTCCCCCTTATATCCTTCAACTTAACCAGAGGCTTTTAAAAACATCAATTGGTGTGGAGCTTTATGCCTGCCTTCCCAGCACCTAAGAGGTTGAGGTAAGACTCTGATAGTTTGAAACCAGCTTGGGCTGCAGAGTGAAACCTTGTCTCAACCCAGTTAGAGCTGTTACTAACTTCAGCTCCAGGGGATCTGGAGCTCTGGCCTCAATGGCACTGCACACACTTGGTATGCTCACATACAGGCAAAACACTCCACATAAAATCTGAAAACCACCACCACCACACATATGTACTCTGCCCTACTTCTGGTAGTGCAATAATTTGACTCACAGAAGGTTGTCTTCAGTTTTAAAAAGACAGTAGCTCCTATGGATAAAGATAAAAAACTGGTCAGTTTCTTCAGCACGTTTCCATTCATGAGCTTGGAGAACAGGCAAGAAACTAGGTAATAGTCACCAAAAGTAACAATATAGACTGTTCTGCAATTGAAAACACTGCAATTAAGTATAATTATATACTGAAAAATGCAGCAATGCCAGAAAACTTAGTCAGAAAACTTGTCAAAGACTAATTATACAAATTGTGTTTCAGATCACCCACTTAACATTAAAAAAGCATTTATTATTTTATATAAACATTATGTAAGGATAACAGTCAGGTATTCTCGTGGACTGGTAGGTGACTGATTAATTCCCTTTCATTCCCAAACCTCATCAGGCAGTCACTACATTTATGAGGCAAGTCAGCTGAATGCTTGAAATCAAGATGAATTTTAAGATCTTCAATTTGTCCTGTTGAATATTCACAATATTGGCATAAATAAATCCCTTCAGATAAATGTGAATTTAGATGCTTGCAATATTCTAACATGCTGGAAAAGCCCTTCCCACAGTCATCACAAACATGAGGGAATATTTTAGTATGCTCAATAGCAACATGTCTGTTCACGTTTGTGTGAAGTCTGCTCCGAAATCCACATACTTGACATACGAAGAAGTTTTTACATTTGTCAAAAGTGATCTTGCTTAAAAGGCTGCACTGTCCATGCCCACCACTGCTGCACTTGTCACTTAGCTCTATCAGTCTCCGAGCATGCTCATTGACCACGTGGCTATGCAGGTCCTCAGGGTCACCTGTCTCATGCTCACAGAACTGGCACAGGTACTGCTCATCACGGCTGTGCTCCTGGAAGTGCAGGTAGAGCTCACTACTTGAGGAAAACTGTACATCACACTGCTCGCACCAGTAAAGGTGGTCGCTGAAGTGGGTGTCTGCAATGTGCTGGCTGAGGTTCTCAAAGATCACTGTCTTATAGTCACAGTACTTACAGATGTAGGGATCTTCTTCATGAAGTTTGGCATGCTCGATGAGAAGCATATTGGTGGAAAAGCTTTCCTTACACACTCGACAAACATTCGAGTCAGTGCGCTTGTGTTTCAGGATCATATGCTGCTTTAGGTCAGAAAAATACTTACTGTTGAATTCACAAAGTTCACACTTATAGAGGCCACTGCTATTGGCTCTCAGTAAAGGCCACTTCTGTTGGGCAGTCACATTCAAAGCTTGGCTCTTGTCAAGTATTTTACACAGTTTGGCTGGTGGCTCTTCATCAGTCTGGTCTTGGAGGCTCTCAGAGGAATTGTTCTCTGTCTCTATATCATAGTCTTCAGAAATCGCATGAACTTCTACAGCAATGGGGACGTCCTCTGAGGTGTGAACCTCTATAGGGCTCTCTTCTTGAGTATGCGGATGCACCGACTCGGGGGAGTCACATTCTTCATCACAGATTTCAACATCAGCAGACTTTTCTGAAACAAAGTAAGCCCATTATAGTATTATATGATTAAGTAAACCCCATTAGAAAATCATCTATTGTTGTAGTTACAGTTGTCCTACCGCTACCATACTACTAAATCAGCCCTGTTAGAAACAATTGTATGAACAGTAGTTACAGTATGCACTGGTTAAAAAAAATTTTTTTTAATTAATTTATGTTTTACATTCCAATCCCAGTTACCCCTCCCTCCTCTCCTCTTGCTCCCCCCACTCTCCTCCACCTCCTATCTGTTCCTCAAAGGAGGTAAGGTCTCCTTTAGGTAGTCTACTAAGTATGTCCATCATCTTGTTGAAGCAGGACCAAGGCACCTCCCCACCCCCACACCCCTGTGTCTAGGCTGGGCAAGGTATCTCTCCATATAGAATGTGCTCCGTTAAGTCAGTTTGTGCATTAGAGTTAGATCTTGGACCAACTGACAGTGGCCTCGTATATTGTTCCAGTCACACCATTGTCACCTATATTAAGGGAGTCTAGTTTGGTCTTATTTGGGCTCCCCATTTGTCAGACCTGAGTGAGATATGTACTGTTTTTACCTGATCTGTACAAAATATGCTACATGCTATTAGTTAATGAGTTCCCCTAACCTGTGGAAAAGACGGTGTGGTCTAGAATTCTAAGCACAGGGCTAGGAACCAGGTAGTTCTGATTCTTATTTCTGCCTTTGGTTCCATCTGTAAACTTGGGCAAGTCATTTGATGCCTCAGGATCAGAATCATCGTCTGTAAAAAGAATGTGGAAAACCATTTTATACCAAAGCATTAAGCATCCCAAAATACTGTTAACATCAACACGAACAACTTAGATATTTAGCCATGAAAGGACATATTACCTATTACACATCACTATTGACACTGAGACTATTTCAGAATAACCCACAACCTTTGTTTATACGCCCCACTTAGACTAGAACACACTCTGAGCTTCCTAAGGAATGATATTGAATTATTATTCCTTTAGTACAACCTCATTCCTTCCAAGTTACCACAGGAAGCTAATATAAGGTCAAGAGAGAAAGCTGGACTGAAACGTGTATATTTTAATAGACTGTTTTAAAAGAGCAGTTTTAGACTTGGGGGAAAATCATGAAAATAGTAAAAAGTGCTTCTAATATCACATTTCCCACTATTAATTCTTTACACTAGTATGGGGCATTTGTTGCAATTAGTGATTGACATGTGACCACTGATACTGATATTACTAATTGAAGCCCAGACTTTGTTTTACCCAATGTCCTGTTGGATCCCACATTCCATTTAGTCATCTTTCCAGGTGACTGGAAACTGTGTTAAGGACTACTGGTCAACCCCTTTGTAGAATACTCCACTAATGTAATTTCTATTTCTTTTTTTCACGATCAGACTGAATTATGAGAGGATAGACCCTACTGCCATCACTTCACAGCACACACTAACTGCTGAGCTACCTAACCCACCAGACTTGGCTAATGTGGCATTTTGGTTTCTGTACTGTGAAGCTAGCTGTTACTGCCCCTTCCAAATCCTATTCTCTGAATGTCCCTGTGAAGCCCAAACCAAGAAGTAGAGAGTTGGGTTCCATCTCCTTAAGGAAGGAATATTGCTAGAAATTCATGCCAGGTGGTGATGGCATATGCCTTTAATCCCAGCACTTGGCAGGCAGAGGCAGGTGGATTTCTGTGAGTTCCAGACCAGCCTGGTCTACAGAGCCAGTTCCAGGACTGCCAGGGCTGTTACAGAGAAACCATCTTTGGGGTCGGGGGTGGGGTGGCGGTGGGAGAGTTTGCTACCTTTTCAGATAATTCCTAAGGCATGTAAAGGCAGTTTAGTTTTTTGGTTTTTTTTTTGTTTTTGGTTTGTTTGTTTGTTTGTTTTTTAGTACTACAGAGGCATTAGTTCTTACAAATAGTAGGCACACACCTGAGAGGCATCCCTAGATCCTACAAAAGCATTCTGGAAAAAAGGGACTTACCTTTGTTGTCAAAGTATTTTAAGTCTGGCTGTCTCATAGAACAGACACTGTAACAATGATCAGAAAAGATTCCACTGACCCCATCTGTTATTCTGTTTATTCCAGAAGAATCTGTGTATGAAACAAAATGAAGACAATTCCCAGCACAAGCTTGCTTGCTGTTCTTACATATTTTTTGTCTGCTCCCCTTGTCCCCAATGTTAAAGACTGAACTCAGTGCCTTGTACATACATACCAGGCAAACCCTCTACACTGATGTTTGTATCTCTAGCCTGTATTTTCACAACTTTAATGAATTTCATAGGAAAAATGTAGCATGTCCTCTGTTTCACACTTTAGATCAGACACTGACATTGGCTTTAACAGAGCCACAGATTAAATTGTAATAACTCTCAGAAGCCAGTGGATGCTGTACACCTATGGTGTCAGCACTGCAGAGGCTAAGGTGGATCAGAGAGACTTTAATTCTAAAATTAATTTAAATACGATTAAAATAAAACCTTTAGAAATGCTGGAGAGATGGCTCAGATACTCTGTTGCAGAGGAGCTAGTTTCAGTTTATAGTACCATATGGTGGCTCACCACTGTATTTCAATTCTAGGGAATCTGACACCTTCTGGCCTCCACTGAGTCTAGGCTCGAGGTGCACATACATTCATGCAGGCAAAACACTCATACATATAAAAATAAATATACCGTTAAAAACACACAAGGAAACATTTACCTTACAATGTAATGGTGTGTTAATGATTGAAACAATGAATTAACTACCATGAACTTCTAAGAAGGCAGGACACATAGTGCCAAGAAAGCATAATACATAAGAAATAGTCTCAGGAGCAGAGAGGGTTTCTGAATACCAGCCATTCCAAACACTGCCTGGAAAGCACCAATATACAATAGACCAAGCTCACTTTCCTCAGAAGGCACATGTGCTCGGAGTAAGCTAATGGATATGCCTGAAACAGTCTCAACTATATGCCAGAGACACAAAGATATCCCTTTTTCTTTCTTTCTTTTTTTTAAAGACAAGATTTCTCTGTGTAGCCTTGGCTGTTCTGGAACTCTGCTCTGTAGACCAGGCTGTTCTCATTCTGGGTCTTTCCTGCCTCCCACCTCTCAAGCGATGGGATTAGAGGTGAGCCCAGGGCTTCATGTATGCTAGGCAAGCACTCTACACACTGAGCAACAACCCCAGCCCAGACCTCTATCACAAATAACACAATAGGATGAAAATGGGGGGGGGGGGGACAGAGGAGGAGGGGAGAGTGAGGCAACTGGGACTGACATATAAAACAAGCTTGTTTCAAATTTAAATAAAAAATATCATAAAAAAGATGAAAATTGGGGAGGTAGAGTGATGGCCCGGTGACTTAAGAGCACTTGTTGTTCTTACAGAAGACATGGGTTGAGTACTAGCACCGACATGATATGGTTCACAACCATCTGTAATTAACAATTCTAGGGGATCCAACACTCTCTTCTAACTTCCCAGGGACCAGGCATGTACATGGTGCCATATACACATGCAGATAAACACTCACACACGGAAAAGGAAATTCACAGTTCCAAAAATAGTATCTAAGATAGTTTTTTTTTTTCAATGCAAAATACTTTCTGCTGAAGTTATTGTTGCATCTTAAGCAAAGTTTGTGACTCTGACTGCCAAAGTCCAATCATGCTACATTAGAAGTAAGCTTGGAAATGTAATTTCAAGTATTTATAGCCCACAGGGCTGAGTGAAGTAAATGTAATGTCATAAAGCATCCCCGTAGCATATCATCTAACAGACAAAGCATATTCAGAGGACTTAGTGTTCTCATACCAGAAAATGGGCTAGATAGTATCTTATTGTTTAGACAAAAATAGATGGGAATAGCAACTATGTGGAAATTAATCTATTACTTTTTTGAAAATAATTCAATTATATACTAACCTGAATAACGAGAAGGGTGTAAAGTCTTCCTTTTTCTTTTTTTAGGATATTCATTCATATCTTTTCAATCTAAAAATGAAAAATATTTAACAGACAGGGCACAATAACTGATATTATTGTATAAATTATTTTGAGCCAAACAATTTCTTGGCAGTAAGAAATCTGGGAGGTAGAGTAATGGCTAAGCAGTTTTCTAAGGAGACTGGCTACTCTTCCAGAGGACCTGGGTTCAATTCCCAGCACCCATGTGGCAGCTCACTACTATCTGTAATTGGAGTCCCAGGGGATGTGACACTCTTCTGTGATCTCCAACAAGTATGCATGTGGTGCAAGACATCCATACATATAAAATATTTTGTAAAGAAATCAGTATGGAGCATGAAAATAGGTGTCACAAGAACAGTACTGCACAATGCCTCTATTGAAAGCCTACCAGATAAGCCTAGACTATGAGACCCTGTCTCATAAAACAAAACAACACAATCTTTTAGTCCCAGCACTCAGGAAGCTGAGTCAGGCACAGTTTGAGACTAACCTTGTCTTCTACATAAAGAGTTCCAAGCTAACCATGGTTACAAAGCAAGACCCTGTCAAACACAAACACACACACACACACACAGACACACACATATGCATGTGCCATTATGCCTGTAGGCATACAGTTTCTACAGATTTCAAGTTAAAAATGGGTATTTTTTTCTTAAAAATATAGTTCTGGGTCTATTAACATAATGGCTTCCAGGAAAAAAAATGTGTTGTATTGTTTTGTTTTGGAACCTGTCTTGGCACTCACTCTGTAGACCAGGCTGGCCTTAAACTCACAGAGATCTGCCTGCCTCTGCCTCCTGAGTGCTGGGTTTAAAGGAGTGTGCTACCAACGCCCAGCTGGAATAAGTAATTTTCAAGAAAGAAAAATCTTAATGATTATGAGGCCACACTCAACATTCTAGTGGGAATAGAAGTGTGGCAATCACCAAACAACTAAGCTCCCATGAACCATTAGTTAGGCTGTATTCCACTTACTTGGTGTAATTCTCAATGCCGCAGTGAGGGAAATGAATTACAGGCAAATTCCCACAGATAGCAAAAAATGCCTGCAAGTAAGAGACCAGCAGTCACATAAGCAATAGCACCAGTGAATGAGCTATACGTAGCTCATGGGTAAAATGCTTGCACATCTTAAATTAGCACCAGAAAGAATGAACTCAGACAGACTCTTTAGGGTTTATAAATTCTAAAAATTATAAATACTTATAAACATCCAATTATATGTAAAAACTTCACATTTCCTTGAAACAAATTTACCTTTGTTTATAGCCATAGCTGTATCTTGATGCCAAAATTACAGTATAAGGCTACATTTATTAATTCAGTCATGGCTGGTTGTGGTGGTGTACACCTTTAATTACAGCACCTGGGAGGGAGAGGCAGGTGGATTTCTCTCAGTTCAATGCCAGCCTAGTCTACAGAACAAGTTCCAGGACAGCCAGGGCTGTTACACAGAGAAACCCTGTCTAAAAAAAACAATTAAAGCTCCTTCTCCCATCTCAGCTTAACATCTGTCCAGTGATGAAAAGAGCAGCAGGGAGCACTCTAATTACTGCCTTTCTCTCCCCCCACTTCTCCCCTTTCAGTTTCTTAAGACAGGGCCTATTAGTCCGCTCTAGCCCAGAAACCAAGTGGTGGTCCTGTCCTAGCCTCCTGAGTCCTGGGGTTTACAGATGGGGTTACAGGACAAATCGTCTCTTCTGTGGGAACCTTCCTGAGGGCACACATTACTTCTGGGACTGTCATAGCACTGCATGCCACGTGATCACACCACGATAAGGTGACAGTTCCCATTTACTAAGCACATTCTTCTCACATCATCTTCCCAGCAATCCCACAAGGAACAGAGGAACACAAAAGGCTTTCCTATTAAACTCACCTCATTTTAAGCAGTAAAGAAACCAACTCCGATAAAGTCCATAATGACATAGCAGGACCAAAGATGGAGCTGCTGGCACCAAGTCACTAACTCTGTGAATCCTCATTGGTCCACACCATCATCAGCAAGTCCATCTTGCTTCAAGTTCTTAGCCACAAGCAGAAGGGGGAGGTGATATCTGAAAAACTGATAGTCATACTCTTATAGAAACATTAGGTACATATACAAAATGCTTAACCCAACACCATGAACAACCTGGATTTTGGAGACAGGGTTTCTTGTAGCCCATATTCTAATATGTATTCTAGTATCAGAGAGAACACTGAAAATATGTCAACAGAATATCTCTGGTTGTTCAGAACGTAAGAAGAAAAGGAAACCAAACATAGCATTAAAATTATTTAAAATAGAAGCTGGATTTGGCCTGTCAAGTGAGAGAGGATGAGTGAAAGTTTGACTTCTACTTAGGACTGAACACCACACACCACCAAAGGCCATTCACGACCCAAACCTGCTAATCAGCCTTCACACAACCAAATAGTATGGGCTTTTTATATGCACAAGGGCCTTCACAAAGATATTTGGAGTGTACACACATGCAAAATGCCACTGCACATGGGTGGTATTTCCAGGGGATTGAATCAGGTCATCAGGCTTGGCATCAGGAGCCTTTACTCACTGAGCCATCCAGCCAGCTCCACAAATTTGGCTTTTTAATCAAATAATATAAATCAGATGAATTTGTGCTCATTAGTTCTATCAAAAAGATTATGAATCACCTGAAACTTACCCCTGCCCCCAGTTATATATACACATCACTGTAGAAAAACCTGGACATTTAAAATTAAACTACCTAAAATTTACTTACTCAGAAAAAAAAAAAAAAAAAAAACCAGAGTTTATAGTGTATCACTTATTTTAAACACACACACACACACACAAAGTCAGGAGGTGGTGGCAGTGGCCACCGCAGGGCACCTTTAATCCCAGCAACCTCTGTGAGTTCGAGGCCAGCTTGATCTACAGAATGAGCTCCAGAGCAGCCAGAGCTACACACAGAAACCTTGTCTGGGGGTGGGGAGGAACACCCCCCCCCAAATAAACAAAAATCCTCTACTTTGCTCAGAGTGTGGTGGTCCATTCCTTTATCCCCATTCCTCAACTTGGCCAGCCTGGTCTACATAGTGAGTTCCAAGCCAGCCAGAAGTACATAGTGTTTCAAAGAAGAATGAACAGATGAGATGTGGTCATATGTTAATTCTGAATTTATCTATCTTTGGTGGTAAGTGGTTTCTGTTTTAACTCAGAGGTCTGCCTCTTCATCCACCAGAGTACAGGGATCAAAGGTATGCACCACCACTCCTGGCTGTGTTTGAGGAAATGTGAAAGAAAAATTCCCACCTTAAAAATCTCCAACCCCATTCTCAGAAAAAGGGCAGTCTGGCTGGCAGCTTACATGTATATCCCTAAAAAATCAGGAGCACAATATATGAAATATAATTTTAAAAATCATCCTCCATAGCTGGGCAGTGGTGGCACACACCTTAAATCTCAGCACTTGGGAAGTAAAGGCAGGTGGGTTTCTGTAAGTTTAAGGCCAGCCTGGTCTACAGAGTGAGTTCCACAAAGAAACCCTATCTTGAAAAAAAAAGAAAAAAATTCCATGTTATCAGCAAAACTCAGTGGCTCACAGCTTACACCCCTGCACTCAAGGAGGCTGAAGCAAGGCTACACAGAAAGACTGGCTCCTAAAAACACAATAAACAGGTAACACACGTAGGCATCTTGGCATTTGCAAAACACTTAGCAATGCTTCCCAAAGAGACAAAAGGCTTTTCATAAACAATGTCTCTACACAATATAAAGATGCATTTAAAAAGGATTATTTTCGTGTGTATGTATTGTGTAGTCCAAGAGAGTGTCAGATCTCCTGCAGATAGAGTTACAGGCAATCAAGAACCTATTCCAACTGGGTGCTTTCTCCAGCTCCCAACACTAAATTTTTTGACACAGGGTCGCTGCGTTTTTAAGACGTTTTAATACACTTTATTTTTCACCACCATAAAATAAGTATTTTCAGGACTGGCGTGATGGCTCAGAAGGCGCTTACCGGCAAACCTGACCTGGGTGATTCCTGAAACCCACATGGTGGAAGAACAGACTTCTTCAAAGTTGTCCTTTGACCTCTACACTTGCGCCGTGCCACACGTGCGCATGCATGCACACAATAAACGCATACAATTTCAAACATAAAGACAATTTTTACATTCTAAGTGAAGCCCGGCTTAGTGGCTCACGCCTCTAAGCCCAGCCTGGGCTACACAAGACCCTGTCACAAACAACAGGAATAGAAGCGGGTTTCGGAAAGCGCCGGTCCCATTTGGCCCCTCCCGAGACCGCCATCCTTGAGGACGCAGGGCCGGCTCGCCGCGGGGTCCTCGCTGGATCCCCCGCGGGAGCGGCCTCCTGCAGGCCGGCGTGGGCCTCTCCGGCGCGGAGTCCACCCGAGCTACGGTGACCGACACGCACCCTGCCGGGCAGGCCCCGCTCACTCCGCGGCCCTCGCTCGGCTCGCAGGCCCCGGCAGGCAGGCCGGCCCTCACCTCACGCAGCAGCGCAGCTCCGCCGAGGCCCGCCCGGGCGATGGTACGGAATCGGCTGCGGGCCGCCGCCGGCGCCCTCCCCCGCCGCCCGCGCCCTCCCCTGCCCGCCAGGCCTGCCTGGCCGAACTCACCCCGTCATCCCGCGCATGCGTCGCAGCAAGCCGCGAGGGTAAGGGTGGGGGGGAGAAAAAAAACCCCAAACCCCAGTTGAGGGCGTGGCCTGAGAGTGGAGAGGGCGTGTTTTCGTGCTGTGGGCGGGGCCTATCTGCAGGACGCGGGCTGGGAGAGGCTGGAAGCCCCTACGAGGCCCAGCGCCCCCTGCGGGGCCTCAGGGCCGTGCGCTCCGCTCACCGCGGACCCTGGAGGCCCCCCTCCGGGATCTCTCAGCGGGGTCTTTACGATCATTAGCATTTCACTTTGAAGTATCCCCGCAGCTTGACGTTGCACACCGCTCAAGCCCCAACAAAGAACATCCGGGCTAGAAGATGAACCCTGGTCGCGGCAAAAGGCGAAGCGACTGGAAACGTGTCCTCGGGCCACACCCTGGATTCGAGATGTCTTAGGGGATTGGAGGTGGGGTTAGAGAGGCTGAAAAGATGGCTCAGCGGTTAACCGAGAGTGTATAACAGGGCATTAATTCTCTTCCCAGAGAAAGCACCCACATGGCGGCTCACAACCGCCGCGTGTACTGTAACTCCAGCTGCGCCTCCGCAGGCGCGCACATCACACACCCCTAAATATAAATAAATCCTAAAAAGGGAGTCTTGGTGGAGCGAACAAAGGATTGGGTTTTCGGACCTTGACAGTCAATGAGGAGATGGGAAAGCATTAAATTAGATGAACATAAATAATTGTGAACATACTTTTCGAATTATCCCTGGAGGTAGAGTTCAGCAGTGTTCTGTGTTTGACAGGGTGAGGACTGAGGTTTGAGGCCCGGGCATTACAGTCTAGAGTGTGGCTGTGTGTTTTCTCACCCCTCCCTCAGTGTTAAGAATGGACTCCGGTGGGCTGGAGAAATGGCTCAGCTGTTAAGAAAACTGACTGCTCCACTAAGAGACCCAGGTTTAATTCCCAGCACTCACAAGGAAGCTCACAACCTCCAATAAAACCAGTTCCAAGTCATGTGATGCCGCCTTCCATGAGCACCACGAACACACGTGATGTTCAGACATACATCCGGTGGCCACTCATACACATAAAAATAAAATGGTTTTCTTCTCCCACCCCCTTTTTGTTTGTTTGTTTGTTTGTTTGTTTCCGAGACTGGGTTTCTCTGTGGTTTTGGTGCCTGTCCTGAAATTAGCTCTTGTAGACCCGGCTGGTCTCAAATTTACAGAGATCCGCCTGCCTCTTCTTCCCGATTGCTGGGATTAAAGGCATGCACCACCACCACCCAGAAAATGGTTTCTCTTTTAATGCAGACACTTTCTTGGTTTTCAAGCCCTAGCTATGCTGGAACTCACTTTGTGGATCAGGCTGAGATTAGGCATATGCCACCATGTCTGGTGGCCTCCCCAACCCCTAATCTGAGTGCAGTTAAAGATGTCAGTAGAATTAGAAAAACCAAAACCAAACCAAACCAAAACAAACAAACAAAAAACAGTTGTGGGTGTTACTTGGTTTTGTAATGTAAGCACGGGGGTGAGGGTGGAGGTGTCCAACCCCAAGTGAGTGGCTAAATCGAGTCTGGATACCTAATATTCCCAAGGTCCTTCTTCCTGGAAAGTCCCAGCTGCGGACGTGTTTTGTCCCCACTCACGTGCTGTGTTCTTGTTGACAATCACCTGCTACTCGGGCAGTCACAGTCTTCACCGACTCCCCTGCTCCACCCCTGCCATGCCCCTGGAATTGGACAGACAGGGCTTGTTCGTGAGGTTCAGTTTAGTGACTTCACAATCATTAGGCATTCTCGGCTTAGACAAATGAGTATTCACGAACGTTAGTGTGACCCGAATAAAGTAACAAAGGAACTGCAGATGTTGTTTACTCAGAGTATACTTAACACCTGGCACAGAATAAGGGAATCGATGAATGATAGATGCAAGATTGTTGAATTCATAAACATGCTGCGCCGGTACTGGTTTCTCAATGTGAATCCAGTGGAGCCACGAGAGGGCGCCATGCAATCGCCGACAGTTATAGTTTCTCGTTTGCCCTTCCCTTGTCTTCTACGAAGTAGTTTTAGTACAAAGGTTTTGCGTTCAAAAGTAAACACACATCCTCTTGTCTGCAATACTAAAAAAACAAAACATACAAACAAGAAAAGCTTGCCGGGTGAGCCACGTAGTCTCCGACGTATGAGGATGCCATGCATCATTGTCATAGACGATTAGCTGGAATCTTTTCTCAGTCCTTTTCCAGGGCTCCCTTTTTCTCCTCACCCTCAGAGGGGCAGCTAGGTAAACTCTTGACTACCCTAGAATAACATTTTTACAGGCATATTTAACCACCATCCTCCCAA